GCAGCAAAACCTGGGTAATCTATTAACTCGTACGAAAAAAGCGCGTGCGACATGTTGTCGAGTATTGGTGGCGGAAGCCAGGCCGAAAGGTAGCCCACACCTGCGGTGGAAAACATCTAACGAATTTTAGACGAGATATTTTCACAAATGACCGACGTTAATTGGTAATTTGATTTATGGAAGAAAGTGACGTAACTTCACGAGTGTTACTGCTAGTGCTACTGGTGTAAAATTCAGAATTCTCAGCACACTGATAGTGATAATGCTGAGAAATTGATTTCCAAGCTTCCGGGCTTGATCCTATTGTTAAACTCAAGTGCAATTTGTATGAGTATGACAATATTGTGATTCATGTAGAATGTAGATCATTGAATTACACGACACGATTGGTTCTAAATCTAAGTTAACGTCTTAATAGTTGTAATGGTATTTATATCTTTCCTCCTTTAGTTAATAATCATCTTTCAAACCGTTTCAAGATAATCTGGATGCTTTCCATCTGCCATCGTTATTTTATGGAGTTAAACCTCCTGAATATACTCAGTTTGCTTGAATCTTGGCGATCTGGAGGCCAAGGGAACAGGCTAAATTCTCATTTTAAAAATTCCTTGAAGTTTTTTATAATGGTTCAAGTTTATCGGTTTATTTTGCACCGCGTACTAAAATTACTTGGATTTCTACCGCTATTGATAAAATGACTACATGAAGATGGGGAGTTAATATTGTTGACTTATATAATATAGATTATTTATTCTTTAGTGTAGATTAACTTTATTTTTATATATTTTACTAAGTGTGAAGGATCAACCATACGTTATTGATATTGTTGAAATATTTAATGATAAATTGATATAATAATAAATGATTATAATATTTTATTGAGCCTGAGGCACATGCCACCCCATCGCGGGTTTACTACATCGGCAATTTTTATAGTGGCATGTAATATGTTAATGTTATTATATCCAATTGTTGAGAAATCCTAGAATTTCATTTCAAGACTAAATCAAACACGATTAATATTTTCATGTGATAATGATTAAATTTTTACTATAATTCTTGTGGAAAATTTATAAATTTCAGTTAACCGAAAAATGATTTAAGCCAATGATACCCATTTATGAAAAAAAAAAAAAACAGAAAAAACAAAAAAAAACTGATTCAATTCTGAATTATGAACAAATCTCAGTAAAAATCATAGATATGAGATCTGGAGTAATTTCTAGTCCCACCAAATGACCCAGAATTTCCCAGTTACTCTTCTTCATTCTGCATCCTGCGGAGATCTCGCCAACATTGCCGTAACGTTTGGCGTTCAGGAAATCTTCCCAGTCCAACACGACACCTTCTGAAGGAAGCTGAGAGCCGCAAATCCCAGCTCTGTACATATCTTCTACTTCAGCAACTCCTAATTTCGTTTTAAAGACTTGCAGTTCGTAGATTTCCCCACAAAACGCTTGGCCGAGATCAAAACAACCCCCAATAATATCCTGATCTTGGCCGAGGACTAATGTACCGTCAGGTGCAAGTCTACTGTTTGCTGGCGTTATCTTCTCTGAAACTTTGGCCCCATTCAAGTAAACTTCCGAGTACTGGCTTTTTGCGTTCCATGAGAAACATGTGTGATACCAGGTGTCGGTGGTGTAATCTTCGCGATCACCCGGCATCAGGTATTCTAAAAACCAGTGGGCGGCTACCTTGTCCCCAAATAATATTTGGTTGGCACCAGCACCTGTGGATTTTAACTTTATTTAATTTTGAATGTATTTATATTTGTACCCTGACTGCTGACCAGATAGATTTTCAATTTCCTAGTTTAAGTTATTTTGTTCTTGTACGTTCAGGTAAACATTCCCCATTATGGTACTCAGTAGTACTAGTTATAAATATAAGAATGAAAATAGTAAAAATACCTGTTGCGTAGCTAAACCAATAATGATGATTATCATTTGGGTCAGACCGATAGAATTTAACCCATCCGCAAATAGAGAGAGTTCGCTCCTGAATATCATTGAAATCTGGTTGGAGCAGCACGTAGTTTTTTAAAGAAACTTCTCGTGGAAACTGCAATACCCTGTTGAACCCACTGCCTTCAGCAGTGGACACAATCAGAATAACGATGCAAAATAAAAACTTCATTTTCAGTAATGAGCAGAAATGGGACTGGAGGGTTACTCTGGACACACGCTGTATACAACGTGTAGCAAGGTTACTCGCTCTTGAAATCGGCGGTCCACTATTACTAAATTGAATTTAAAACTTATTATAATATTATCTGTGTGGCACGATTATACGTGGGAGAATATTTCATATTGTGGTACCAGGAAAAGGGGGTCTCCTAAAATTTGTACCTATCGAAAAGAGCGAAAAAGGCAAAGAGATTTATTCAACCAAAAGTAACAAGTTTCTACACCCCCCTAATCTCATATTCGCGGCCGGTCGTGTATCATAATCTTGCCGTCCAAAATATGCGAACGATAATCGACTCGGCGTATTGGGTTGCCCCCCCCCTCCCCCCCACGTTCACTTCATTTAATATAATGTCTTATCTTATAAATATAAGCTAAAAATTAATTCCACTTGTTTATTCTAGAATTACGTTCTTAAAATGTCTCATCTCTCCGCAGTTAGTGTGTGCTACAATAGCATTCGGTATGGGAATAGACAAAGGTGCGGTACGTAATCCAGCATAATTTAGCATAAACTGCTTGAGAGCATGAAGGGTTTCTACCAAGACTCAAGAGTCTGGGCGAACTCGCCGTGATGGTGATCCTGCTGATTGTATACTGCTCTAAGTCTACAGTCTACAGCAACTTTGGCGTCGTTAGGGTCAAGAAGCTCATATTTTTTGATGACGGTCCGGGTAGCTGGGAGACTAAAAATGTTCATTTTGATAATCTGATTTACATGATACTGTTGTGTGACATGATAATGAGTTGGATTGTAAGTGAACACTCACATATAATTTTAGTTGGCTCCTGTTAATTATCATATATATATTATGTATAGGCGGTCGAATTGCGAATGAATGTTGTATATTAATAAATAGAGTTAAGTGACTCTATTAGGAGAGGAACTTTTTAATGTATCAACTTTGTGACAGTTATTGTTAATGTTCTACACACTTCAGAAGAGGAGTGACAGATTGGCTCAGATTGTCGTTAAATTAGTAGAAGATTTTAAAGGAAACATTAAATTCACTTTGATTTATCGTTGCGATGTTTTACGGGGTGCTGACTCTAAAAAAGTGATGGTTTCGGGGCACTACCGGAAGCGACCGGAATGTGCAGCGTTCGGAAAAATGAACAATGAAGGCCGACAGAAATTAGTCAAAATATCGAACGATTAGTTTCTGATAACATTCTTGAAATGAAATGAAATGTGGTATTTATATCCCGCTCATATGATTAACCAACAACACAAGGAAGGTGGTTAACCATGTCAGAGCGGCTGACTGTGAGTGATGTGAGCAAATGCAAATGTGTAAAAGTTAACAAAAGTATAACTCATTATAAGGCAAAGACACAATTAAAACATCTTTTATTACGTAAATCACACTAAACTAAATAGAAGCAGAAACCATACAATATATGTAGGTATAATAAAGGTTAGTACAGTGACATAATCAATCAAGAAAGAAACAGATTCTAGAAGGGAAGAGATCAAGACATAAATGGAGTGCAGAAAAAGAAAACCCAAGGTGTCTTGCAAAGACAATGATTATATAAATGGTTTTTTAACATTCGCTTGAAACAGTTGGTATCAGTAATACATCTCAACAACATTGGAAGAGAGTTCCATGCAACCGGTGCATGCATGGCTTGAGAAACGTCTGTCATCAACTTTGGACTTTTTATTCTTAAAACTATGACTGGAATAGTGGTTAGCTATGTTCATTGTTCAGCTCGGTAAATGGGCCCGGGACTTACTCTCAGGGTGGTTAATGATGAAAAATTTGTTTCAATTCTAGATCATAGATGAAAAGGTCGATTACCTTGAAATTGTGACCTACAACTCTACAATGCTTGCGCGGCTCATGTGTGGATGACATGAGTCCCGCGCTTTATACTATTACGATGTAGTGCTTTCATCACAAATTTGGAAACTTTTGCCGCGCGTTCCATAAAGCTGATCTGCCCATAGCTCATCTCGCTTTTAGTAAAAGCTGTCTTACATAAAAAATTGAAGGAGGACTTAAATCTATTGAAAATTGATGAAATGGGCTGAATAAGGTAGTCTTTTAAAAATTTGTCACAAATGCGTCATGCCACTAACACGACAAGTGACTTAATTTACTGACACTCCAAACACCTCTCCAATTTAATCTAATTTTGAACCAATTTCTATCATCAGAAATTATTGAATTACATAATGAAGATAAGGAAATTTAGATCGGGTTTAAAATTTCAGGGCACCTACAAAAGTTTGACAGTATGACCGCATATTATCCAAAATATGAAGGAAGGCAGAGTTTTATTTGTCAATGACTGAACCTAGATCAGACTGCTAATCATGCATCCCAATCACAAGTCATCAATTCACAACACACCATTCATTTTTTAAACAGTTTTCTGTAGAAAGAAAGGACAGTATTTTCAAAACGCTGCAATTTCCAAATTTCGAAGGCCGAAGCCCAATATCAATTCGTATATTATTCAGCCGCTAAGATTGAGGATTATGTATTAATATCACGACTCCATTTCCCCTTATTTGAACTGTAAAGCATTCTTTAATTTCACAACTTCTTCAAAAAAGAAAGTCTTGCACGCCCCTGAAATTCTGAAAGCAATCCTCGTTAACTTTTCAAGATTGATTATAACTGATATGATGCGATTAGACATAACTAATTATTTAATTCTCTCTATTTCATCGGATCAAAACAACACTATTTGGTTACTCATTACCCGATTGCATTTCATCCTTATACTTTTATTACCATCTGTCTCACAATTCATCTTAAGTGGACATAGAATATGAGTAATGTACTAAAAGAAACAACATTGTAACCAATGGAAATAAAAATTTAAATCAAACAAATGCCCAATTGGGGTTATCAATTATGTAAAACAAGCTTAAATGGAAGCTTTAATCTATTCTATGATATAATGCTTTAAAAGCAACTTTCATGAAGAAAAAGAGAATCAATCTATTATATAATTTCTTTAAACATACATGTAATTCATGTCCAGTCATATTATTGTCTTTAACGTAAACAGAGCTGCTCTACAATCGTATATCAAATACGTCAAAACTATCAGCAAACTACTGACTATAGCCTGGTACCAGAACCCTCAACAAGTTACCACATGTCCCGAAAAAATCATTACTAAAAACTTATCAAGAACATATCTAGATACTATAAAGATCATATATCTAGATACTATTGCTGTTGAGAATAAAGCCGACTAATCAAAACAGATCTAATTCATTATGCTTATAAAAGCGTATTAATAAATTACTTGATCGTTTTTCAGTCGTTTTGAGCCATTTCTCATGGCTTATTTCCCAAAAATCTTTTAAATTTAGGTATAATATAAAATAACATTATTTTAAATATACAACAATAAAAAACAACAAAAACAATCACGGATCATCGATAATCGTTTAAAAAATTACATGTGTCTTTAGAGTCATTTATCTTAAAAAATTTCGGCCTCAGGCAGCGGAACACAGCTCCAAATGATCAGGGCCTCGGATTAAATATCAGTCTATTATTTAATGACTCAGTCTGAAACATCAGTTTCACAATTTCTGAGCCACAAAATTCTCAGTTCCGCACATAAAATCCTGTTTGACAATAACTGGCTCCATACCAAGGTCGTGGTTGACGTATTGTGCGCTGTTCTTTCTGGCTGAGTCCGGTGATGGCTCGTGTATCGGTAAATGCTGATATGTGTCTGGGATAGGATTACTCTTTATCTCGTTTAATCGCGGACTGAATTTTGACTCGTTTCTGTCCTTAGTGGGTACCATGGTACCGTAGGCGGAGTGCGCATCTGCGATTCTATCGTAACCCTGCGCGGCTATCGAGCTGATCATATCACCTCCCTGCATGGTGGCAGTGGACATGAAACTGTATCTGAAGTTCTGATCCATTTCCTTGTTGTCGTTGGAGTTGAGGTTGGGTAAGATGTCAGCTTCAGGGTCTCCACAGTCCAGGTATTCCTCTGGTCGGTCTCCGAGTAGTTCGTCTAGAAGGTTCTTGATCTCGGTGAAGGAGGGTCTTGATTCAGGGGCCTCGTGCCAGCACAGTGACATCAACTGGTTACTGAAATAAGAGGGCGGGTTAGAGAAAAATAGTTCATGCAACGAATCAAATAGTAGAGCTAGATGGAGAACACTATTAGTGGCTGTCAGTTGTGAAAACTATTGCAATGCAGGACCGTGAGGCGTGATGCAATACTGTAGTAAGTGCACCAGACTCTACAGTTCAAGAATATTTCATATTCGGCTAATATAAATGAATTGCCAAAAAATCTTAGATCACAAAATTTGTTCTCAAAGTGTAGCCAGTATTCAAATATGAACGTTAATAGGTGTATGAGTATATAATATTTGTGGCCGAAATAGGAATTTAACTTATTGAATATATTATTTGAGCTGTAAATTAGACGTGATAATTAGACCTAAATTGTGCCCTGATATAGAAATTAGGGCACATCCTCACATCCTGCACAAAAGATATCAGGATATCCTATTAATGCTTTTCATACGCTATTAAATATTATAATAGCGTTACAATACTTTAATGGTCATTGAATTAACATTAGATTGTTGTTTTTATAGTTTATGTGTATTGTGTAATTGGGTTACAATTAAAGATGTAACGAAGGGATGTCACAATTCACATATAAATGAGTTACTGAAGAAATCAATGTAGAAAATTAATGAGAGAAATCAATAATTTAATGATGGTGGTTTCACTATTCTCCTACTCTTAGAGGATTCTCGCTTTCCAGCGGATTTCGCACAGTGGCATGGCAAACAGATAAAATTTCAGATACAAATTTTTTGATGGTATTCAGATCCAAGAGAATTCTCAGGTATTTGACTATTTGATAAGAGGGTTTAACTAGTTTAAATGTTAAACTCGGTTTAGTGACCTTGTTAAACTTGGTGGCCTTCTGGTTGAGATTAGGAACTAATGACCCTAATCAAGAACTAATGACCCTAGACAGTGCCGAAGATTACCCTAATGAGTGCTCATATGAACAAAGATTAGTTTTCTAATTCTAATGACCATTCAAACGCATATTAAAGTTTTGCCCATTGTTTTAAGTTAACTCAGACAGTCACTGTTCCACAAAGAACAATAGGCCTGGAACTTAACCTGAAGTAATTAGTTGGCTAACTCGGCCTTCTAAAACCGTCATCATGATAATTGCAGAGAGATCAGGCTTATAAATAAAGTATGAGAGTATCATAGTAGGGGGTCATCTTGATTTTATCACGATTAGCTCGGATAATTATAAGAAGATGTTTGCACGCTCAGAGGCTGTAATAATTACTGGCCCCTAACCAGCTGGGAGTATAATTAACAAGGTGGTCTAGGCCCATACTAACAGATCATGGTTCTGATTTCCTGATTTCCCGTCAGGAGAATAATTAGTATAATTAGTATAATTATCCTAATTATTGCAAATCATCCTTTAATACACTTTACTCTTTAATACGCTGGGTACACTTTACACTCCACTCAGGGTACTAGAAAAGCTAAAAACTCGTACAGGTATGTTGGTATGTTGATGATAACAGTTAAAGAGTGTACTTCAGACTACAGTTCCTTGGTTCTGTGGAGTACACACAGTTAAGGGGCAGTGTAAACACCAACACGTGCATTCAGGAAATCAAACTTACAGACAATGAATTGTTTAAGTACACCCACGTGACTCGTCCCTCGACCAATCAAAACACATGGTTTAGCCACGTGGCAGAGCTCTCAGCCAATGAGAATGCAGTAGAGCGTGTCAACTAAAGTGCTGTTAGGACGGAAATGTGTCTAGTAGCTGAAGGTGAGTAGAAAACAATGAGGAGAATGGTTTTGAAAGAGGAGAGGAAATCAGGAGACCAGGGATATAGGTAGATCACGTGATGAATTGTTTAGATTACTTTAGAGTAGTTTAGGGTAATGGTATTGTTTAATACTTAGAAAAAATAGATCATTAAAGTTCTATCAAAACAATTAGTTCTGACAACTTTAATACTTCAGAATGTAAGGATTTATAAACTTGAATAGATATTTGGTGGACTAAGGATACACTTGTGTCTCTACAGTTCAAGTAATTATCTACTCCTACAACACCGTCCAGCAGCTACTATGTAGTACTACAGTCTACAGCACTCTCAGCACTCAGTCCCTCTAACATATCATATAAATTAGGTTTTAAACTTAAACACCCAGAGTGTACACAGAACATATAAAATAAAAGGTTGTGTTTAACTTACAGCTCAGGCTTGCTGTTAGTGGGGGGTGACATTCTGTATCCCTGTTTTAACATCTCTGGAATGTCTCTGATTGTGTGTCTCGGGTACGGGGAGCCTCCTGCAGGAATTTAATATTTAGAATTGGATATATTTCATCAAATTTAGCCAATGAGAGCGCTGTAAAGGTGTCATGTGATGTTATTTGCATCATTCTTCTACGTCAAAGGGAGGTTTAGGGCTCTGACGTGATATTTAACGAAAGGTTTAGGACGTGCTAAAGGCGTTAAAGTTCCGGGTCCTTATTCAACGGTTTTATCATCACATGAGTGTTAAACTTAAAATTAAAGTGGAGACCTGATGACTTAACGAACTCAATGAACAGTAACCTGACTAGTCAGTTTAGTGCTCTAGAACCTTCCTGGACCTGGTTTATTAAACATTGCATTTAAAACCTCTCAGACAGGATAAACCCTGATGATAGCCTACAAAATAATAGGTTTCATAATGAAATATTACCCTGGTTTACCAACCTAAAGTAAGAATCTCGTATAACAGAACACCGTAAGCCCACACATCAGAGTGAACTGTGAACTTCTTCTCAAAGAAACTCTCCGGAGCTAACCACCTATACGGGACTTTCCTGGGAAGAGTTGAGAGTTTAGTCACGTGGTTAAACTGTAGATATCACGTGTTAATGTCACGTGGTTAAAAAGTATCGGCGCTGAGTGTTAAAAATATGTGTGCTCGTGAGTTGTTATAGGTCATTTATAATTTAAGTATCCGATGTTATTATGTCATTTTAATAATATCGACTGGAATTTGATGATTTAAGAATATCGATTTGAAAGGTTGCAACTGGGAACATGATCGGCAAAGTTGAGATATGATCAGTTTCCTGTGTAACTCGCAGATAACAAATTACTAGGCAAATAATGACATTTCATCATTACTCATTAGTATGCTGTTAAAATTGCTAATTCATCATCGATTCTTTGGTTAGAATTTAGAACCCGATACCTTAAATCTCTCATTATCACAATAATTATGCTTCGCACTGGACGCCTCGACGCCAATTATATCCCAAGATAACAATTTACAGTTAATCATGACACAATAAGCAAATCGATTAAGTCACTAATTAAAGTAATTACCACTTAATTAAGTAATTAAGTCCCCCTACCTGTTAGGCCCCATCACGTATTCTTCGTTCACTCCTCTCATTTCTCTGGCCAGCCCAAAGTCTGTGATTTTGAGGGAACGTTTAGAAGCTACCAGAACGTTTCTAGCAGCCAAATCTCTGTGGACTATCTTCTGAGAAGCAACGTATTCCTGGAGAAAGGGAAAAGTGAACACAAGGAAATACTATTAAAGGTGCTATACCAACGTACTTGATTGTTTCATGAGTGATATTGTTTCATGAGTAATATTGATAATTTTTGTTATTTTCATAATTTTCAAATCATGTATTGGATGAGAGTTACTGTCGGCGTAAAATTTTGATGGAATGGGGCCTTGTTCGCAGGCCACAGCTCATTGAAATTTCGCTGACTTTTTGCCAAATTGGAGAATTTCTTTAACAAACATTGTCGAAGCCACCAATACCAAATATTGATAATACTAAACAGATAACATGCTAATTAGATTCCTTTCTCCAAGTTAATAATCTAAACATGACCAGTTTATAAAGCGCCCTGTCAACAGTTCATGCCCGAACTTGCCCAGAACAGAACTTGCCCAGAACAGCTCAATGTTTGCCACAGTTCCTTAAAACTTCACATGCTATCTCCTGAACCCAATTTGAAGCCATTGAAAATACAAGCTGTCGAGTAAATAATTAGGGTAAATTTAATGTTGCTAATTATTAGGCTGCTAGACTACATTTGGGTGAAAGACAGGCGTGTTATTAACCACTGTTGTCTTGGGACTGGTTGCTTAGCAACCAATGTCAGGCCGGGACAGCTTGCTTAGCAACTGCTAGTCATTAACAAGGCGTTTAGAATCGTATTGTGTACATTTTAAGACGGCATTTTCTAGCCAATCCAGCAAATAAGCCAATGAGAGCGCTCTAGACGAGTCACGTGATGATAATTCAAATGGTGCTTGTTTTCACCTGTGATAAGCAGTGTGTTGATTGGTTACATTGTGTGTATGTGGGGTAAAGTGGTAATTAATTTTAGGGAAGTTGGTGCAAATTTAGGTGCAGACAGAGCCGTGAAGTGTGCTGAATTATTCTATTATTATTATACTCCAGAAAAGTGGAAAATATTGGAATGGTATAGTCTGCAAGACTGATAGCTCCGCGCGAAAATAGCCGGTGATTGAAAGTGTTATTTATGGTCATAATACCTATTGTATCATCATTGAACATTCAATAGATGTATTTTAGTCTTAGATGTATGATTGAAATGATGTGCACCTAATTAAGATTTCCGAAATTTCTCCACTCGAATTAGTTCATTGCAGGCGCAAATATAATTAAAATTGGAAATATCAGAAAACCATATCGGCAAATATTGACAAACATTCCTGTCCAATTCAAGAAAACTATGAAGCAACATTAGATAACTCAGTACTCACCATGCCACAAGATATCTGTCTAGCAAAAGAAATAAGATCCTTGCTAGTAAGAGTGTCGTCACTGGTACAGAGGTTACTGATATTACTGATGTTTGGAAGCTGGAAACTGTCTTGGGTCTGAGGTTTGAAGGGGTACGTTCCTACAAATGAGGATCTGGAGCTCCGCAGATAGTTCTGAAGTTAGAGAAGGGGTTATTTAAGCTGCTAAAGATAGCAAAAGTCAATGAGTATTTCGACATATTGTTTTATTGGGGTAAACTGCAGAGAAGATATTTAAGTAAAAGATATTATCTGAACCTCACTTACTGATTAGTGGATATTAAACTAACTAATTACCAAATTAGTAATCTAAAGTAAATTTGTTTAAATTAAAATAAGTAACCAACCTGTAGATCTCCGTCAGGCATGTATTGTGTGATAAGACAGGTCGGTCTGCCTGGTCTCGTACAAACACCTGGACAGAGAGTGGTTAGATTTTACATACTTTTAAAACTGAGGAATATTTGCAATTCCTAAATATGTAGAGTTTTGGGTTGATATAAATATTTGTTGGGTTTATAAATAGCTGTTCCATTCCAGTTATGTGGTTTGTTGTAAAATGTTTTAGTTTTGCTTTCTCAAATTGTTTGACGGTGTTATTTTGAATGGTTTCGCAGTATTTTTACGTGATTTTATCATTGATCTGAAGCTGCTACAGTACGTTTATCCTACATTCCTTACTGAACTAAATCATGCAACTAAATCGATTCTTCAAAACGGCTCAGTTCTTTGTTTTCTTTTGCTACATCAGAATTAATCCACATTTTACATGCAGTTGTTCAGACGTATTATTCATCCTAATCTCATTGCTTGCTGTCCACATTGTAGTCAAATAAAACGAGTACTTCATTATATTATTAAAATCCATGTCCGAATATTAAATAAGTAAATAGAACAGTGAACTATGAGTGTGAAGTGTGAAATGTGCCTTTGAGAGCCAGGGCCGGTATTGAATTCAAGTTTTCAAAGGTATGACGCGACCTGCCCTCCAAAAATCACTTAACTACTACACTTGCGGTGCGAGGAATATCAATAAAGCGTCTCAGCAGATGACAAATAGAGCTTCTTACTATAAAACGACTGTCAATACCCAGGCCAATAAGGTTGGAGATCGTTAGATCGACAGCCAATCAAATGAGTGGGATTTTATCATGTGAATATTATCAGCTAATCAGAAGTTTGGGAATGTGCCATGTGACTACTTTCGTCATAGGGTCGGCTGTGTGGTAATGGACACACACTACAGCTGCATTATTCTCTAATAAGCACATATTTTATGTATACTTGGAACAGTTCATTATAACTTTATAACGACATTAAAACTAACTTATTTATCGCATACCAAAGCACTCATTTGATAAAATACTTTTGTTCCGATAAATAGCAAATTGTTAACTTTTCCCCAAGAATAGATGCTTTTAAAAACAGGCAGCACATTTCAACAAGCATTACAAAGGATAAAAACAAAAGGATGGGCTTTCTAAGACAATGAGGATTTAAAACTATTGAGTACTGCATGATTACAGAAATTATTCAGGATGGTTGATTTGCTGTAAATCTAGTGCAGGTTAAATTTGAGAACAGATATTAATCGCAATTTTAAACTACGGTAAATCTAAACGGAGAAAGTTTACAATGAGTCTCTGAGAATATTTATCCTGAATGCACATTCTTCCATCAATCTTAAACCATTTATTGATACGAAAAACCATACGAACCACAAACTTACAAATTAACATGTATCGTACAAATATCGAATAACACCAACATAATATTAAAGCTAACAGTCTTATGTAGCCCCTGCCAGGGCCCCTCTGTTATGGTGCCTCACTAGCACGGAGAGTATTACTGTTCCTGCTGCTAAATAAAGGGTCTTTATACGTAATAGTGGGACTAGAATGGGACTGAAGAGCAGTAACCACTTCCTGTTTCAGGTGGTTATCTAGATCACATTCCTTCTGACGAGAGTTGCTTCTCTCAATACGAGGGTTGGGAGGTAGGAAGACACTGTCAGAGGAGATGTTACTGCTGGTTTTCTCTCTGTTCCTCAACATCTCTCTCCGGGGGAGACAACGTTCTGTTACTGTCTCGGAGATGTTGGAGACGGGGGAGAGGACTGCGCTGTCGGAGATCTCACTGATCATTGATTCTGTTCCGTCACCAATTGTTGTGGTGCTGCTCAAAGAACTCTTCATTGATTTCTTCACTGATTTCTTCTTTTTCCGTTTCTTCCCTTTTTTCAGATCCCCGTTATCCTCCCGTGTTCTGAGGTTCAGTTTGGACATCTTTGTCTCGTCTGAGATGTCAGATCTTAGTTTAGCTAGTCGTCCTCTGAACTGTTCCTCGGTTAACTCCTTGCGTTTATTAGCCTGATGTAACTGCAGCTTCATAGCGTCCAGTAGCTTACTAAGATGTTCCAACCTCGTGAAGTCTAACTCTATCTCTCTGACATGAGTCTCGTACTTCTTCAGGTCCCTGTAACTCTTCAGGTTCCTAGTGTTGATCTCCTGATCAGTGACTATCTGACACTCTGTGGGAGGGAGCTTGTACTTCTCCTTCAGATCTTCCACCATGGACACGTGCTTCTCTAGGTCACGTGACAGAGTCCTCACGTCTTTCAGGGAGGATGTCAGGGAAGCTAACATGTGACCGTTATCTACTGCTAATCTCCGGGCTATACTCTGGCAAACTTCCACTGCTTCCTCCTGGTTCTGAACGTACTTCTTCAGTCTGGAGTTCAGAGCAAGTTTAGCCTCATTCTCTGCTAGTATTCTCTCAAATTCCGTCTGGGCCGCGTCTAACGTAGCTCTACAACAGGACTTATTACCCAGATCCTCCATCCCGTCCAACCAATCAGACCTCATACTCTCCATCCCCTTCTTCTTATTCAGGATGTTAGTAGCTAGGGAAACTATCTGAGAGTTAAGGAACTTTAGTCTCTCTAACGCGGACCTAGCAGAGAGGTAGGCTGTATCAAACTCGTTACCAAAATCTGGATGGTATATAGTCCCATAACCAGTCTCCCCCTCTCCTTCATCTCCTTCATCCTCACAGTAGGAGGAGAAGAAGAAGTTGAGAGCAGTCAGCACAGAGCTCCTCTCAGTGCAGGCCTCCTTGTATTCTGTGATATGATCTAATATCTCCTTCTGTCTGCCAGACTCACTGCGCCGTAACTCCGCTGTATCTCCCCCTGTATCTAGTTTAGAGTACGCTTCCTCAGAGATATCGTACTCGTAGATAACCTGGTTCATCCTGTCCCGTATCTCAAACAGCTGCTCCTTAGCCCTCCTGCTACAAGTTTCCTTCCAGAGTCTCTCCCCGAGAATCAGCTCGTTACGAATAAAACTAGTTGCAGCCATGTGTTGTTGTAGTTGGAGAGCAGCTAGTGTGTGTTCGGCTTGTGAGGGAGTATTTTAACAAACACAAACAATTTCAAATAAAATGAGAGACTAGCGCACGAGCGGCACAGGGAGACTCGCTACTTGTAAAACTGCTGAAAGAACAATTCAATGGTAGTATCAGCGTGTCAAAGGATTGTAAAACATGGCAAGCATTAATGTAGCACACAGAACAAAGGCGGAGAAGAGAGCAGTGGAGAAAACAGAAGATCCGGACAAGCCGGACACGGAGACCACCACGGAGACTCTAATCTCGGAGTGATGGACGGAGCTAATCACCACACCGCCACCACACCTGTAACATTTGGGGAGGCCGTGGTATTAATTTACGTGATTAAGCGGTGTGTGTTGGTGTGTAGTGTTGTGTGAATCAGCTATTGTGTATCTTGTGTATCTTCAGTGTCCGTGTGGTTAAAGTGTGCCTCTTGTGTCGTGCTCTCGCTTTTAAAGTTTTTTAGCAGTGGTTTTTTCAAGCTGTGCAGCACATATTATGCATGCAGGCTTTTATTAAAGTTAAAACTTTGTTGTTCTGCTGAGTAGCGGTGGTACATGTTATTCAGTACTTTACGGTAATATCAGAATACGTCAGTGTTGACTTGACATTGGAGTGAAGGAGCCAGGTGATCGCGTGCATGGTGTACTGTGTATAAAATATTTAATATGCGAACGAGAGCATAACATAAGTACATGAAGTTTCGTGGGAAATAAAGGGTCGAGCATGACTGGACACTTTGAGCGTTCAAGTTGACTGTCTTTTAAACGGGTGTGAACTTTACACTTGAACTGTTTTAAGATTGATTTAAGTGTGAGCGGATATGGTTTTCTGGTGGATATTTAAATTGTCAAAAAGATCGCGACCGCAATTCAATTTATTTTCAAGCAGCGCACACAATTTTGCATTTAAAGTGGATCTAAATCAAAATTGTTGGTCTGAAAGAATATAAATTTAAAAACAATTCTGGTGTTAAGTTTTGAATCCGTATTGAAAGTATTAAAAAGAAAATAAGTTTTAAAGAAACTGACCTAGCAGAGGTATAACGTGTTGGTGAACACCTAGTTTACTGAGGATATTTATTTCTGCCAACAGCTCGTTCTTATCATACTCGTTTTCTTCTGCTTGGGGTAATTTAATGTTAATTATTTTAATCATGTTTAAATATGTACTATTAAAATAAGTCTAAAATTGATACATTGATATTGATCACTTTGGAGGTGCTGCAAAATAGCAGGAGCAACAACTAAAAATACATCTGGAAATCAAAATTATCCCTTTGTCACAGCTGTAACTATTATCCAACTGATTTTATTGAGCCGTACCAAAACATTATCGTTAAAATCAAACAAACACAAGTTCTTAACAAACCTCGGCACATTTTAACCGCCACAATCTGTGACCCCTGAGGACACTTTAGCCCCTGAGCCTCTGCTTTCAGAACCTTCCCGAAGGCTCCCTCTCCCAATGTGTCCAGGAACTTTAAGTTCTTGTACTCGTACTCGTTAGAGATGTAGTCGTTCCTCAGCGTTTTAGGGATGGTAAATCCGAGCTCCTTTTCTATCTTATCGTACACTTTCTTTTTGTAATCTCTCTTGTGTCGCCTGGTTGGATATCATAAGGTGGAATTATTGGCTACAGTAGAGATTATATCCGTATTGTCCGGTGATTGAGTTTTGTGCAACTCTTTTGTACAGATAATGATCCAGTTGCTCAGATCTTAAATTTAATTACCCGATTTATGGTTTCTATGGTGTTCTAGGTTTAAATAAAAGACAGAATCGTGGTCTGGAGGTTCATAGTCTATGATATCATTTATTAATGCAACTAAAAATAAATTAACCCTTTGTTTTATTATTCCTTTGTATTATCAATAACCGGAGAATTGGTCGCCCAACAAATTAATTTTCAAAACAATACCATGAATAAACATGTTGAAACACTACATCAAAATATTATAATGATAACATTATCTTACCTAAAGAAGATGTAACCTAGAGCACACATCAGCACAAAAACACCAGCAGTGCATCCCACAGCTAGCTTCATAACATACTCGTTAGGGGAGTTCTCAGTTAACTGCTGTGATATGTCTGAGGAAATAAGGTGATTGTTAATTTAATACAAACTTAATTAGCTTAATTAATAATAATACATGGAACATGATCTCGATGTTAATTTATACGTTACTACACGGCTATTATTGTCAATATCATATTAGTATTAAACAGGAATCTATGTGTAGATTCTGGACACATAGATTTTACATCTTGTCTCCTTTTCCCATGAGTATCGTACTCTATTATACTAGGGCGGTTTTACCATCTGTGTTTTACATTCGTAGATGAGATTCACAAATACAATGACAATAATACGTGTTATTATTTAATTAGCTAGTTACTCATTTACACAGAGATAAACGTTACTTTACCACATTACAAATCCCCATGATGGAGTGCGAAATTATCACGTACACTAAAATAGCGGCTCAAAAGTGGTAATTAATTTTGCTATTTTACTATTGAATTTACAGTGCATTATCCTAAGAATAGTGTAAGTAAATAAAATAGAATCCCTATTATTTACAAGAATATTCACACTTATTTGTAGCGTACAGTTCACGAGCTTTATAACCAACACCGCGGTTAATCAACAATTTTTTAGTCTATCCAAACTGATAGACCTAGGAAGCCTCACAATTAACGAATAATGGTAAACTGATAAGTTGAGAGTGGTCAGATTCTCAGAGGCAGTAATATCACAGTCCGAACTTCAGACTGTGAACTCTGAACTAGCCCTCAGTATTAACCAATCAGAAGCCAGGATCACTATCACGTGTCAACATTAGTAGTCTCACAAACCCGCCTGTTTCATGTCTGTCTAGCTTTTTAAACCTTGTCAAAGACCAACTTCCATTATAACCTAGCGGTGTGTTAGCAGTGCTATCAGCTCAACTCTCATTAAAACTTTCTCAAATAAGGCACTTTTCAAAACAGAAAATTAACTGTTGAACTGTTGAAACGTTTGTTGACGTGGGTAAGCGCCCTAGTTCCAAACTGTTGACATGAGACTGGAATCAGAAACTGAGACATTCTTCTCAAATCCACTCCTGATGACAGAATCTCTTGATATGGATATGAGTTCATTGTTGCGGACGTGATTATAAGACGATATCACAGACTTGTTACATTTTAAATAAATTACAATTACAGGAAGATAGCCTCAAGAATTAGCTGTTAAATTTTAATGTGGAAGATAGAGAGGGTTTATTATTAGTTGAAGAGAAAGAGGCCGACTATTAGTCGCGGTTAATGAGGTTTAAAAAGTTTTTAATAAGTTTAACTTTGAAATGTTTACAAATAGGAGATTACAAGCAGTTACTCTGATATCAGGTTACCAAAGGACTAAGTTCGTTTTACCTAAATTTCTAAATTTCTCAACTGTTTTATGAAGTATCTCTGTCGGTGTACATTACGTTATTTCTATGTTAAGCAAGTTGTAATGATTAACTAAAGCAACCTTAACTCATGGGTACTTGTAACATTTTCAGTAGAAGAATGTTCTAGAAAATTCAGGATAAACTCAAAGGTGTTAGTATCTCAAAATATCTGTCTTCTATAATCTCACTATGAAGTTTTTCGGACACATCAAAGTGTAAACTGTAAAAGTTCATGTTGACCATTTCCAGTTTACCGGCTGAGACTTCTCACTAACTACCTCGTACACAACAAAGTACCTACCCAGTACCAGTACCGAGTACCAGTACCAGTACCGAGTACCAGTACCGAGTACCAGTACCAGTACCAGTACCAGTACCAGTACTAGTACCAGTACCAGTACCGAGTACCAGTACCAGTACCAGTACCAGTACCAGTACCAGTACCAGTACCAGTACCAGTACCAGTACCAGTACCGAGTACCAGTACCGAGTACCAGTACCAGTACCAGTACTGAGTACCAGTACCGAGTACCAGTACCGAGTACCAGTACCGAGTACCAGTACCGAGTACCAGTACCGAGTACCAGTACTAGTACCAGTACCAGTACCGAGTACCAGTACTAGTACCAGTACCAGTACCAGTACCAGTACCAGTACCAGTACCAGTACCAGTACCAGTACCAGTACCAGTACCAGTACCAGTACCAGTACTGAGTACCAGTACCGAGTACCAGTACCGAGTACCAGTACCGAGTACCAGTACCGAGTACCAGTACCGAGTACCAGTACCTACTGTACGTCTCCAGGAGACGACCTGTATAAGTCTCCACTTATAAAGGTACTGTAGTTAACGAACCCTGCCCGTACATCGTATCAGTTACTAAATCGTAGGACACGTTAAATTTGCCATTACCCCTTCAGAGCTTTGACGGAAACCCCAAAAGTTTGACATTACAGGTTAGGATAGCTGAGACGATGCCACACAATTAAAGTTAACTGACATCTTATCAGCTCCCAGACCCCCAATTTGGCGACCTCCACTTTTAAACCCCCAAATTATTGACGAGTTCAGCTTAAAATAGACCCCCGGTTAGTGCTGACATGTTTTGTTTCTATTTGTAAAGGTAAAAGCTGGCCGAGTTTCAGGAAATCGGGGGATATTTCCGTTATATTTCAATGACAGGTGAGCTGTCAGGAAGAGAACAAGATGAACATTATATCCCAAATATTCAGCTGTAACTGTTTATCAGGTCGGATCACCGTGTGTGCTAAATAATTCTCCACGTCAAAATGGAAATATTTTATTTAAATCTGTGTACAAGTTAGGTCATCCAGATGAAATGTGGACATTTATGGGTTGAGTATCTCCACTACACTTATTATAGGTTGGGTATCTCCACAAAAATCTGTTGCGCTTTCCGTAAAATCAAAGAGATGTACAACATGTAAATTATCACTTAAAACGTGAGACTTTTAGTCGATGAAATAAAGCGAAAGCTTAATACAAAGCATAACTTGATAAAATTCGGCTAATACGTGAAAATGAAACTCTTGAATAAAGTGAAACTCTAAAATAAAGTGAAAATGAAACTCACTGGTAGAGTGGAAGACAGGTTTGCTAGGTGACTCCCCCAGATCATTGAGTGAGATCACGTCAATCCTGTACTTGGTGCCCGGAGATAAACCTCTCAGTTTGTAGTCAGTGGGACATTTCCCATCCTCACACTTAATGGTGTTCTGTACTCTCGAGTCCGGGTTATCTGGGAGAAGAGGCAATTAGTGAAAGTGAAAGTGAAACAGCGTCCACGAACGATCATATTAATAAAAATGCTATTATACTATTATGACGTGTCGGTAGTCGTTGTTCTAGAAAGAATACAGCGACATATGATTTAAAGTAACCGTGGCTCGAATCTTCGAGCTGTTAATTTCATGATTATGAATGTTAAAAGTATGAAATCCACGAGATAAGCGTTAAAAATACTCGTGGAAAAGCGGTACAGCACCTGGCAGTATAAAATTGAATTTCCCTTATCAAATTTCTTATCTCTCTAAAGAGTGTAGCCGAATGTCGAGATGTGTTATTTAGGTGTAAGGTAGCCCACTGGCACACTTGATTTTTATTATATTTCACATGTATACATAACATTGCTCGTACAGCGTCGAGTTACACATAACGACTGCGTTAAATCATGTGCAAAATACGGATCTTTGCATATGAAATATTTGTTACAACACAGGATTCTTAGACAAATTCACAGTAAGTAATCTACTAATCTTGAGAATCTGGACCGTCCAGGTTTATTTTATTAAGTAATCTAAGCTGTTCAGCTTTACTTTTCTAAGTGATCTCAACCGTTCATCTTTTCTTCAGGGATAAAAAGCAGTTGGGAGGCCGATTATTGTATAACAATTGAATGTATAATGTATTATTTACAATGTATTTACCCGATGTATGAAGTTAATGATACACATGTACTGTTATGTTATATTAAATTTGTGGTACAAAAGAAGAGAGGTATGGGATGAAACAAAGGAAGGAGTATAACAATGGAGCGGCGAGGGTGAAAGGGTCAACTCTTTGATAACAGGCAAATTTGTAACATTTATGTTAAATTGGGCAACATGGAATAGATATCATCCAAGAAATCAGGGACCAGGGTGTGCTATAAATAAATTAGTGCTATAAATAAATTAGTAATTGGTTAACTACTTAACTAGACAAGAGTATAAGACAGGTGAAGATACAGTAAGACTACATTAAAATAATGTTACATTTACAATACAATACAAGCGTAAATAAGGGGGTGCATAGTGCAATGTCAATGACATTTAAAATGGTAAGTAGTACAAAAATCAAACCAATCTCTAATAAACCAATTACCTAATTTCCCATAATTCCTATTTATAAAACTTACTGTCGGTATTAATAGAGAAGTCAGCAACAATCTTGATAGCAGTAGCTACAGTGTCCTCATCAGGGGAATAGGCCCACTGTATTACTAGACTATTCTCTGTGGTGTGGTTGGTGTCTATCGTCAGGTTGATGGGTTGTGGGGGAAAATCTGAAAAGAGGGAGGGTGTTAGAAACTGAAATAGAGGGAGGGGGTTAGAAATAGAGGGTTAGAAATATAATATTAGTAGCTTCCATCTTCGATCGTATCTTTAAACACGATCCGACTCTTCGACTAGAATCCAGTAATATTTTTGTTTTGTAGCTGATTGATTGCATACTTTGGAATGTGTTTACAAGTTCGCCAAAATTCGAGGTTCATTTTAAAAATATTGGATATGTATCAGGTATGCGAATCATGCACGAGATTAGTACTAAGTAGGTGTCAAATATATCTAGATAATATCTATAGTAGTACTAGTACAACTAAACAGTGCATAATGCATGCTATTAGCTATGATTGATGTCTGACATTACGTCTTCAAAATATACGTAATTTTAACGGAAACTTGTCGTAATACCATTTTACATGAAACATGTGGTAAACTTTGTCGGCACATGTGGTAACAAGTGGTAATAAGTGGTAACGTAACGTGAAATAGGAGATAACCTCATGTGAACCATGTGTTAATCACTATTGCAGTCTCCACTCCCCTTCCAGTGCACTGATTATGTACACGGAACGCGTGTAGTTGATCAGTAAACCATGACCAAATTTAAATCACGTCATTTCTCGATTACTATAGAATTCTTAATGTGTTTAATATAGCGATTATCAATTAATAAGAAATCTAGAGTTGGGTGGTGACGATTGTTTTTCGAGGACCACAAATTTTTAACCAGGATTTGAGAATACTGTAAAGGCTCTTTTTTTGTTATTATCATGTTTCAACTTTCATCAGAATTACACTTTAGGCCATTTTGAATTTCTATGTAAGTATATAATGTGTTTAGAGATTGTTGGTGGCTTTTTAACACGGATATTTCGGTAGATTTAACGGCAAGTTATCTGAAAGCCACCAGCAACTTACTTGGAAGCTTCCCAATTTTAAAATCCAATTGAATTACCGCGATATACCCTACAAGGTAGCAATGACTGGGCCACGTGATAAGGTAACATTGACAACTTCCAACAAGTCAGCTTCATAACGTCCGGTTCGTGTCATTTAACTTTTTAAACTGTCACTGAATCGCCGAGAAAACCTGCCATTGTATCGTTTACTGTACTTTTAACTCTTCTTCTTCTTAACTAGGACTTTATTTCTTATTGTCAAAAACTGGCGCACGTGCTGATCAATTATTGTTATCCATAGGACACTGTTTGTTATTGTCCAAAACTAGCGTACGTGCTGATTCATTATTATTCTGAGAAAAAAAGTTGAGTAAAGTACCGCGGAATCAGGCCCTAAAACTACAGTTTAACAAACAACACCGACCATTGAAAACATCTTGTAGCCATGGAAACCCAATCAGATCCCTTTATTTTAATCACGTGACCCAGTGACTTATCACAGTGAACCGTCACATTGTATCAGGAGGAGGGCTACATAAACCCACCAGAGAAACCATACAGTGCCGCATTAGAGCAGTCCCTGAACACACCACGTGACTGAAATACTGCGCTCTGATTGGTTCGCTCCAACCAGGACATGATTTAATTGGCTGGTGTTATCTACCGAGTTCTCGTTTCGGGGCCTAATTCTTTAATTAAAGGTGAAGATAAGGGACCTCAAAGATCGTGTGAAGATGATTCTGAGACAGGTCAAGGCAGTCAAAATGATAGCCAATCAGACATCAGGAGCCGCCCACGTGCAAAACCCCCTGCCCACGTGACAGACACGTGACAAAACCAACCAATCACAGGGCAGAGAAATTTATTTCCATGTCAACGCTACTTACGTGACCCGTTATCAAGTTAAAATTTTCCCACTCAGTAAACACACGGTGTAAGGTCGTGTAGGGTGACAGGCGTTTTAATTCACATTTTCACTGAGATTAGGTAAAAATACTTTGGAATTTTCCTGTACATCCCACGTACGGTAGGTATTGAGCTTATTATGGTGGTATTCTGGCAGTGAACTGAAGAGCATGCTGGACAGTTGTTAGTCGACAAAATTAGTCATTACTCTTTAAAAAGAAGATAAGCTTGGTAAAAACTAAAAAGCAACGTTAAAACTGCTATACAGTTTTTATAGTGCATCTCTAGGTATCTAGTATTGACAATTTATGTATCTCTCAAACCTTTCAAGGCTGGAAGGTGAGGTAAATTCGCATATTCTGTGCAAAAACTTTTGTAGCGAAATACCAACTGATGTAACTTGTCTCATATTTTGAAATAGTAGACCTATATATCATTATATCATTATAATAAGCTCGACCAATTTGAACCTTTGGTAAGGTATCGGGTATAACCTTCACCTACACTCAAGATTTCCCAGAGTTATTGATAACCATTACGTCTCTGATAACACAAGAATTATAAGATCACCCCGCACCCTACGGATAAATCCACTGTCACACAATCAACTGAACCAGGTTACTCATTGTGTTTTAATTAAAACTGTGAGAAAGAATTATATCAGAACTTTCCAGAACATTGAATTTGATTAGGCGGGATTATATTCACCCTTACAATCCAACTAATTTCCACTCACGCCCGACATTGTCTGACAGTATTTTGAAGCCTGCAATTGTCTTTCTCCAACTATTGTCGGAGCATCCAATCAGAGCGCAAGTTTGAAATCACGTGATATTGCGCGGCCAATCAGAGAACAGAACGGGCTGTATTAATGAGGATTCATATCCTGCTCTAATAATTTGCAAGTAACGAATTATTTAATAAAATGTTCGTACCAAATCACAGACAATGTTGGAGACAAGTTGAAACTTGTTCTAAAATAAAGCTAGTAACAGTGGATCCAGTAGTAGGAAATACAGACAACCAAATTATTTGCTCGAGTAAGACCTTTAGTACAATTCTGAAAATGCTTCGCGGTGGGAGTTTATTGATCCACAACTATGTTTACTATGGAAAATAAATTCAAAGTTATTAAAACTAACCGATAACTTTAAGTCTGTATTCTTCAGAGTAGAATTTAACTGGATGGTTCTCGTCAGCGTATCTACAGTAGTAGTTTCCTGAAACAAAATTATTTAAATTAAAAATGTAGTGTTACAGAACTGAAAAATAACAATATTTCGTGTTAAGGTATGTTAAGAATGAAGTTTTAGATGTTTCAATGATATGAAAGGAGTTGGTAATGAACCCTAAAATGTCAATATTTGAGGAACATCGTCCTTTGTGAAGATCAGATAAGATGCCACAAGAACCAAGGATCATCACCAGAATTTCTCTGACAACCCATGACAACGTTACCATGGTTTCTGAGATTGCAGGACTGTCGACAGGATAAAACTTTGATGAGTCTCTCATTGACTACCAAGTTACTTTTAAAAACTTCTTTATGGTGCTGATATTAACATTCATTGAGCTATATGTCAGACTGATGGGACCTTGGTAAATAACATAAGTTACACCGTAATTCTCAACTACCAAGGCTTCAGTGGCGCAAAAATATTCAAAATTTTACGACATCCCCTCGTCTGGAATCCATCCAGCAGAACAAATATCACAGTTTCAACGTCCACGTGACTAAACCAGACACGTGACCGCCCTACCACGTGAGTAAACTAGACACCATTCTCAGCTTCTCAGTTCTCAACACAATACCCAGTCTCCCTCAAGGTGGGTATGGGAGTGCAGATAGAGAATAACTTTAGTGAGGAGAAGAATGAGAAAACAAATTACGAGCCCTATCCAGAAAAAAGCAGGAGAAAGCAAGGTCTTTATCCCTTATAAGGGAAAGAAGCACAGGGACCAGGGACAGATTTCTATATTCTATATTCCAGGTCCGTGTGTTGCGACCTCGTGAAATGAAGGGTACTAAGGTCAGGGCACCCTGTACTAAGAGACGGACTAGACCGCAGGGAGCCGCGCTACTGGGACTTATTATTTTCAGGGAGTGTGTTATCAAGAGAGGGGACAAGGTGCACGTGCATTGTTGGGTGTGCAGTATTGTTAAGTGTTCAATATTGATAATTCTAGAATTTACACTTTTATGAATGAATGGTTTATGATTTATGTGATTTTATAACCAGGGGAGACAGTGATAATTTAGGAGTCGTATGTAAAGGCTGGTACGATTGTGTTAAGACGGTCTTATCTAACTTCTCCGGTGAAAGTCAGATAATTCTAAATTTGTATGGTAAACTTTACCAGGTAAGCAAGAGAAATAATTGTACAAATATTTTGATCAAAATTGTTCAAGAATTTCCTATAAGCATGTATGGTATGCACGTGTGGAATGCAGGAGAATGTGTGACAGTCAGACAGACACACATACCTTGGTCAGCTCTCATTAGAGTGGGTATGAGAATCCTGTTATCTGAGAAGTCGTATCTGTCGTGAGGAGCTCGGAGTAGAACACCGTCTTTAAACCATTCAGTAGCGTTCTGTAATTATTTAAATGATAACTTTAGCTTGAAAATTATTTGATTGTGAAAATAAAATTCGTTAGAACACTCGAAAGGTTTTAGAATACTCAATAAGTTACTCTAGGTAGAATAATTATGTAAAAAGCTGAAAATTAAAAGCCCACCTCTTCAAAGTCGATCTCATCATCGTAACAGAGGAGCTCTAACTTTCTATTTACACCAGGGTCTCCCTCTGTCAACTTAATGATGTTCCCTCCGCTACCTCTATCTAAACAATGAGTTTTATCCATTGTAATACTCGCAGTATCATTCAATTCACGGTTCTATGTTGTAATTATTTTATTATCTTAGTACTGTTACTAACTGAGTATAATCTACTATTACTTAGTCAAATCGCTAGCATTATCATACAATTCACGTTCCTTTAGTTCACAAGTTTTAAATATTTTAGTACGCTACTTTTTTAAGAACAACGACGCCCTTACATTTCAATTTTAACTACATGATCATCATAGAAATGACTTGATGCATCACATCAAATCTTTAATCTCAGTCTAATCTATCACTCTAATCATTGTCTAGGCGCATGGAACTAAACTGGAACTAAACTGGAATTAAACTTGAATTAAACTTGAATTAATCTTGAATTAAACTTAAACTAAACTTGAATTAAACTTGACTAAACTTGAACTAAACTTTGAACGTAATTTGAACTAAACTTGCTCATAAATATATCTTAGTCTTACCTTTAACATTTACAGTAACGTTTCTGGAATCCTGCCCATAGCCGTTCCACCCTTTGCAAACATAGGTCCCTGCCATGTAGGGTTTGGCTTTGTAAATGGAGATAAGTTTACCACCATTACCTAGAGGTACCATGTGGACTGTGTCTACTTGGCTTATCGGGATCATGGTTCCATCGTCGTCTAGTTTATACCAAGAAATCTGGGGGAGGGGGAGTTGGAACACAAGGAAATGTTTTAAAAGTTGTTGTATCGTTACTTGTTATAGAGTTTATCGTGCATGGTGGTGTTCGAATGTGTAAAGTAATAATATTGTAAACTAAAAAAACTATGCTTACGTTTGAGGGTGTGTCGCCTTTGGATTGTGTACAGCTGATGTTGAAGTCATCATTAAGTCCAAGGTCCACTTCAGAGGTTGAAACGTTCAGTTCGATAGGGTACTTAATGTCAATCTGAGATAAGATAGAAATTTGCTAACTCGGTGAAATTATAAAAGCTACAACCAAAGAAGTAATAACCAAAACAGGAAAAACAAGGTATATAAAAAAGAAAAGTAACAAATGACTGTTTAGATCTAAATAACATGACCCACCTCGTAAAGTTCACTCCGCTGTGTTTTCTTAGTAATCTGTTTCCTGCCCCCGTACCCCTTACATTGTATCTCCGACTCAACTCTACACTCGTACTTCTCGGAGGGCGAGTCAGCCGGGAGACGAAGTGAGACTGATATTGACTCTGCAAAGTATGCGTCTCCGTGCACCGTTACCTGAACAAGTTAATTAATTAATTAGAGAAATTAATAAATTAATTGAATGAAAGTTAGTTAAAAAAACTTGTTTTAGAGTTTCTTGCGCAGTGTGAAGACTATACGGGACTCTACACCACCGGAGAATATCTAGAACTCTTTACTCTTTTAAAACGATTTCACCATACATAGGCTTATATTCCAACTTATCAGTTTATCTGACCTATAAACCAAGCGACCTATCTCACAGACATATTAACTTGTAAACATAACACCCTCGGAGAGGAGCCTGTCAGAAGCTCAGACAAAGGCCCCGCTTTAATCAACACAGCTCTAACTCAGGAAACTGACTCCGCCCCCATCCTTTAGCGATAACAAGTGTAAATCTTGTAAATTTTAAAGTGTCTGCTGACACACGCCAGCAACAGTTACTGGAATTACACACTTTTAGGAGACACAATATCTTATACTCTCACACTCTCACAATTCATCCGTGCTACATTTTTATATTTTTCTTACTAATAACTCAGGATATATTTTAAAAAACCACTCGGGTCGGTGTTACCACTGTGCTACCACTGTGTTACCACTGAAGGCTGATAACTGTCCATCACTCCCGATAACAACCACACCAATTACATGATATGTATTATATCGGGGCGTATCTCCCAATTAACTACCACACTTGTTCCACCCAGAAAAAGCACGATAGTTTTCAGCCGAGAAACCCTAGATATACCAGTGCTGGGAGAGTTAAACACGTTATGAACGAACAAAGTTGGAGCTGGGGGGAACCACCGGGCGCCTGGTCTGTACTATAGGAAACTGTTAAATTATCATCACCAAGGGGGAGAGCACGTTTTTTGTCTAAAATTGTTCAGAAAATAGAACCCCCCAGTAAGGTAGGTCAACTGAGCTGAGCTCAACAATACATGTAAGAAATTATCATTATGTAAGGTGAGAAGTCCTAGCAGGGTCGATATACCTCCGGGTAAGAGTTAAAAGCTGGTGTGACGCGATGTTGGGTACGTTAGAACTTATAAAAATGACCTCTGAGGACAGAAAAGGGTTTTTAAACCCTTTAAAGTTTAAAACCGTTAAAGCTAAAACTCTGTCTACACTAGCGGTCTACTTCTTTTTTTCTTGAACCCATTGTAAAATAAACTTTATCCTCTTTTGAAAAGGAAGCCGCCAGTCAGATCAGAGTGGATTTTAGTGGGTTTAGTAATCAAGAAGAAGTGAGGGGCTGGTACCATTTAGTGAGATTTAGTGTAATTTAGTGCTTCGTGGTGAGGCGCAACTTCCGTTTATAATTACAAATCGATAATTACCTAACTTTACGTTTTAAGAGAAGGAGAAAGAAACCTGTCAAGGGCAAACTTTTTGAGGAGCAACCGAACATTTATAATGTTTCAACCGACAATTTAGAATATGTGTTTTTAGGTGTGGTCACGTGATGTTTGTCACAGAATATGGCGCCAGGTACGGTTAAGAACGGTCAAGAACTTAACTTTCGTCAGAATTATTGCAGCTTCCCCAGACATCAAGTTGCCAATCTGTTCAAGTTTTTATAGCTTCAACAGACACTAAGTATCCATCTAGAACACCGTGTTACCAGCTAAAACACCTGCAGTGTCCCGACTAAGTATTTATACATAGTTGTAACAGACATAGCGTTACAGGGTAGCTTCACAACCTGTTGATAAGGGTAGGTCTCCAGAGTCCGGAGAAATTAGGTGAAGACGAAACTATCACAGTTTTAGAGATTGGTTATAATTTACACTTAGTTTCAAGGTGAGAAGATAGATTCGCAACACCTAAGTACAGGCTCGACTTACGCGGATCGAGGTTAGAACTGCAGCCATACATTTCATCTTAACGACTCTAAATATATTCTAGTAGAGTTCTTTTAGCTACTCTAAAACCAGTGGGAGCTGGTTTTACAGTTGGATCTGTTGTTGAAAACACTAGCCCACAACAAAACACCTCATTTTGGTAGACTAGTTGACTGATGGGGGGGGTGTCATGTCCGTCTATGTCCGCCTATGTCCTGTCCTTTTTGGATTCTATGAGACAACGGACGTGTTTTTTGGGACATTGGCGGACACGGACGGACATTGGCGGACTCAAACGGACATTGGCGGACACAGACGGACATTGGCGGACACGGACGGACATTTGCGGACCCGGACGGACATTGGCGGACTCGGACGGACATTGGTGGACATTAGCTCAGGAGGAGGAGGACTCAGGAGGAGGACTGAGGAGGACTGAGACGGAGGAGGACTGAAGAGTACTGAGGAGGATGGCTGAGGAGGATGGCTGAGGAGGATGGCTGAGGAGGATGGCTGAGGAGGATGACTGAGGAGGATGACTGAGGAGGATGACTGAGAGGGAGAAGGAGGATCAGGAAGACCCAGGAGGAGGAGGAGGAGGAGGACCCAGAAGGAGGACCTAGGTGGAGGAGGAGGAGAACTGAGGAGGATGACTGAGGAGGAGGATGACTCAGGAGGAGGACTGAGGAGGACTGAGGAGGATGGCTGAGGAGGATGGCTGAGGAGGATGGCTGAGGAGGATGACTGAAAGGGAGGAGGAGGAGGAAGAGGAGGAAGAGGACTGAGGAGGAGGAGGAGAAGGACTGAGGAGGAGAAGGAGGACCCAGGAGGAGGTGGACCCAGGAGGAGGAGGACCCAGGAGGAGGAGGACCCAGGAGGAGGACCCAGGAAAAGGCCCCAGGAGGAGGAGGAGGACTGGGGAGGAGGAGGACGGACATTGGCGGACACAGACGGACATTGGCGGACACGGACGGACATTTGCGGGCCCGGACGGACATTGGCGGACTCGGACGGACATTGGTGGACATTAGCTCAGGAGGAGGAGGACTCAGGAGGAGGACTGAGGAGGACTGAGACGGAGGAGGACTGAAGAGTACTGAGGAGGATGGCTGAGGAGGATGGCTGAGGAGGATGGCTGAGGTCTGAGAGGGAGAAGGAGGATCAGGAAGACCCAGGAGGAGGAGGAGGAGGAGGACCCAGAAGGAGGACCTAGGTGGAGGAGGAGAAGAACTGAGGAGGATGACTGAGGAGGAGGAGGACTCAGGAGGAGGACTGAGGAGGACTAAGGAGGATGGCTGAGGAGGATGGTTGAGGAGGATGACTGAGAGGGAGGAGGAGGAGGAAGAGGAGGAAGAGGACTGAGGAGGAGGAGGAGAAGGACTGAGGAGGAGAAGGAGGACCCAGGAGGAGGAGGACCCAGGAGGAGGAGGACCCAGGAGGAGGACCCAGGAAAAGGCCCCAGGAGGAGGAGGAGGACTGGGGAGGAGGAGGACTGTTGAGGACTGATGAGGAAAACTAAGCACGAGGAGGAGGAGTAGGAGGAGGACTGAGGAGGGGAGAAGGAAGAGGACTGGGGAGGATCAGGAAGACCCAGGAGGAGGACCCAGAAGGAGGAGGAGGAGGAGGACCCAGAAGGAGGAGGAGGACTGAGGAGGACTGAGGAGGAGGACTGACGATGACTGAGAAGGAGGAGGACTGAGGAGTACTGAGGAGGATGGCTGAGGAGGATGGCTGAGGAGGATGACTGAGAGGGAGGAGGAGGAGGACTCAGGAGGAGGACTCAGGAGGAAGAGGAGGAGGAGGACTCAGGAGGAGGACTCAGGAGGAAGAGGAGGAGGAGGACTCAGGAGGAGGACTTAGGAGAAATGAGAAGGAGGACTGAGGAGAACTGAGGAGGAGGAGGAGGAGGAGGACTGAATAGGAGGAGGAGAAGGAGGGGGACTGGGAGAGGACTGAGGAGGAGGAGGACTGATGAGAAGGATGAGGAGGAGGACTGAGGACCGAGGACTGAGGACCGAGGAGGAAGAGGAGGAGGATGAAGAGGAGGAGAAGGACCCAGGAGGAGGAGGACTGAGGAGGAGGACTGAGGAGGACTGAGGAGGATGGCTGAGGAGGATGACTGAGAGGGAAGACGAGGAGGAGGAGGAGGAGGACTCAGGAGGAGAAGGAGGAGGACTGAGGAGGACTGAGAAGGAGGAGGACTGAGGAGGAGGAGGAGGAGGAAGACTGAATAGGAGGAGGAGGAGGGGGACTGGGGGAGGACTGAGGAGGAGGATGGAGGACTGAGGAGAAGGATGAGGAGGAGGACTGAGGAGGAAGAGGAGGAGGATGAAGAGGAGGAGGACCCAGGAGAATGACCCAGGAGGATTACTCAGGAGGAGGAGGAGGACTGGGGAGGGGGAGGACTGTTGAGGACTAATGAGGAGGACTGAGGACAAGGAGGAGGAGTAGGAGGAGGACTGAGGAGGGGAGGAGGAAGAGGACTGAGGAAAATCAGGAAGACCCAGGAGGAGGAGGAGGAAGAGTAGGAGGAGGAAGCATCTAAATGTTATTTCCATTTTTGTCCCTTTTTGTCCATTTTTGTCCGTTTTTGTCCGCTCTATTTTTTGTCCGTTTTGAAAATATAGGGTACCGAACGGTGGAGGAGGACTGAGGAGGGGAGGAGGAAGAGGACTGGGGAGGATCAGGAAGACCCAGGAGGAGGACCCAGAAGGAGGAGGAGGAGGAGGACCCAGAAGGAGGAGGAGGACTGAGGAGGACTTAGGAGGAGGACTGACGATGACTGAGAAGGAGGAGGACTGAGGAGTACTGAGGAGGATGGCTGAGGAGGATGGCTGAGGAGGATGACTGAGAGGGAGGAGGAGGAGGACTCAGGAGGAGGACTCAGGAGGAAGAGGAGGAGGAGGACTCAGGAGGAGGACTCAGGAGGAAGAGGAGGAGGAGGACTCAGGAGGAGGACTTAGGAGAAATGAGAAGGAGGACTGAGGAGAACTGAGGAGGAGGAGGAGGAGGACTGAATAGGAGGAGGAGAAGGAGGGGGACTGGGAGAGGACTGAGGAGGAGGAGGACTGATGAGAAGGATGAGGAGGAGGACTGAGGACCGAGGACTGAGGACCGAGGAGGAAGAGGAGGAGGATGAAGAGGAGGAGAAGGACCCAGGAGGAGGAGGACTGAGGAGGAGGACTGAGGAGGACTGAGGAGGATGGCTGAGGAGGATGACTGAGAGGGAAGAGGAGGAGGAGGAGGAGGAGGACTCAGGAGGAGAAGGAGGACTGAGAAGGAGGAGGACTGAGGAGGAGGAGGAGGAGGAGGAAGACTGAATAGGAGGAGGAGGAGGGGGACTGGGGGAGGACTGAGGAGGAGGATGGAGGACTGAGGAGAAGGATGAGGAGGAGGACTGAGGAGGAAGAGGAGGAGGATGAAGAGGAGGAGGACCCAGGAGAAGGACCCAGGAGGATTACTCAGGAGGAGGAGGAGGACTGGGGAGGGGGAGGACTGTTGAGGACTAATGAGGAGGACTGAGGACAAGGAGGAGGAGTAGGAGGAGGACTGAGGAGGGGAGGAGGAAGAGGACTGAGGAAAATCAGGAAGACCCAGGAGGAGGAGGAGGAAGAGTAGGAGGAGGAAGCATCTAAATGTTATTTCCATTTTTGTCCGTTTTTGTCCATTTTTGTCCGTTTTTGTCCGCTCTATTTTTTGTCCGTTTTGAAAATATAGGGTACCGAACGGTGGAGGAGGACTGAGGAGGGGAGGAGGAAGAGGACTGGGGAGGATCAGGAAGACCCAGGAGGAGGATCCAGGAGGAGGAGGAGGAGGAGGACCCAGGAGGAGGAGGAGGACTGAGGAGGACTGAGGAGGAGGACTGACGATGACTGAGGAGGAGGAGGACTGAGGAGTACTGAGGAGAATGGCTGAAGAGGATGGCTGAGGAGGATGGCTGAGGAGGATGACTGAGAGGGAGGAGGAGGAGGACGCAGGAGGAGGACTCAGAAGGAAGAGGAGGAGGAGGACTCAGGAGGAGGACTTAGGAGAAATGAGAAGGAGGATTGAGGAGAACTGAGGAGGAAGAGGAGGATCAGGAGGAGGACTGAATAGGAGGAGAAGGAGGGGGACTGGGAGAGGACTGAGGAGGAGGAGGACTGATGAGAAGGATGAGAAGGAGGACTGAGGAGGAGGACTGAGGACCGAGGAGGAAGAGGAGGAGGATGGAGAGGAGGAGGAGGACCCAGGAGGAGGAGGACTGAGGAGGAGGGCTGAGGAGGACTGAGGAGGATGGCTGCGGAAGATGACTGAGAGGGAAGAGGAGGAGGAGGACTGAGGAGGAGGACTGAGGAGGAGGAGGACTGAATAGGAGGAGGAGGAGGAGGACTGAGGGAGGACTGAGGAGGAGGATGGAGGACTGAGGAGAAGGATGAGGAGGAGGACTGAGGAGGACTGAGGAGGAAGAGGAGGAGAATGAAGAGGAGGAAGAGGACCCAGGAGGAGGACTGAGGAGGAGGAGGACTGGGGAGGAGGAGGACTGTTGAGGACTGATGAGGAGGACTGAGGACGAGGAGGAGTAGGAGGAGGACTGAGGAGGGGAGGAGGAAGAGGACTGAGGAAGATCAGGAAGACCCAGGAGGAGGAGGAAGAGTAGGAGGAGGAAGCATCTAAATGTTATTTACATTTTTGTCCGTTTTTGTCCATTTTTGTCCGTTTTTGTCCGCTCTATTTTCTGTCCGTTTTGAAAATATAGGGTACCGAACGGACAAAAAACATGACCCCCCTATAACAGCAAAAATTGAACATTTTATTTAGCAATTTAGGTGTCCATTAATGTCCGCTAATGTCCGTCTATGTCCGCCAATGTCCGCCTATGTCCGTCTATGTCCGTCTATGTCCGCCTATGTCCGCCTATGTCCGCCTATGTCCGCCTATGTCCACCTATGTCCTGTCCTTTTTGGATTCTATGAGACAAGCGGACATAGACGGACGTGACACCCCCCCCACTGATGGAGATTTCAGACTAAAACCATGACACGTTCCAGATGTAATGACACGGGTCTCACTCAACCAGAGGAATTTGCAGGAAAATGGAACTGTTGAAGTGGACAAATATTGGACGGATCAACAGACTTGGCTCTTTGAATCCGACTACATCGAACTAGCCAGCCGTGCCTGATAAAATAGACTAATGCGCCGGTTTTAGCCGGTTAAGAGCCAGTAAACACAAAACTCACCCAGCCGCGTCCAAGCTGATAGAGACTGAATCCGTCCTCGAACCAGGAAATACCAGTAACGTTGATGATGGAGTGTTTGCAAGTCAGAGTAACATTGTTACCCGCTACAAACTCGTCTGTATCTGATGTTATCTCCGGTACTCCTGGGAGGTGGGCTGGTTAATCTGGGGGTTGTGGGAGTGGGGGTGGGGAGTACATGCACAACACAGGGGGTATATATACGGGCTGGGGGAATGGGGACTAAGAAACAAGGGCCTGGTTCAGGAGACGTGGTAGCTACATAATGGTGTACAAACTTTAAAAAGTTCTAGTATAAGAACCTTAGCTCACAAGGTGGGCTTGGCTGGAAGATTAGAGAGTTTTGTTAGAAGGAGAGGCTTGGTGTTTGCTTGGTATTTGGGCGAGTGTTATCGTGCAAACTATAAGCGCTGCTAATGACTTTAAAGGGCTGTAGTAAGGCTACTTTTGGTCGAGGGAAGGGGAAGTTATAGAATCAGTGTAGCTCGTTTGATTGACATATTTGGTAGTACCGAAACATCTTATCAACGAATACCATTGAACATGCATTAACTGTTTACAGGACTAAAAAATATTAGTCATAAAAAACAAAAAGTGCTTTAATTCAATCCAAAGGATGCAATTACTAATCAGCAAATCAGCGTTAGACTAAATGTGATCATATGTGAAAAATGATTGGTGAAGTGATAGACAAATCACAATAACTTACAAAATGTACACTTGACTCTATACATAATGTATAGTGTATACATAATGTATAATGTCATGATGTACATACCATGTGAGGATAATCCCAAATCGAAGAGCTTTTCCCAAAACTCGGAATAAAAATATGTTTAAAATCTCAGGTTTAAATAATCGTGATCACCCCAATATCATTAAAGTAATGATAAATTCAAATGCTATGTAAGGAGTTAGAGTTCAAATAGAGTTCAAATAGAGTTAAATAGTGTAAGTTTGGTCCAAATTTGAAAGACGGACATCAGAGCGTAGAAAATTAAATGATGTTTCTGAAAAGTATCTGAAATCTGAAATATCGGGACATGAATAGAATCATAAGACATAAGACTTGAATCAAAACATCAATCACAGACGAATATTGTACCCTGTACGAATAAACTCTAATACTTCACCACGTGACCCGGGAACCAGGGTAGAGCGTACAACAGGGACAGGGGAATATGTATTATGTAGGACAGGGTGGAGGACTGTCCTACATTGTAGGACAAGATACAGGGTGTAGGACAGTAGGACTATTATGCAGGACGTACTAGACAGAATATGGTGGACCTTTATTTAGATGAAAGCCCTCACTAAAGTTGCCTCACAGTACAATAAAACACAATTAAGTTCTAATAGGTCCAGTTATAAGAGATGGATGGAATAAAACTTATTCCCTCGATCTTCTGAGGTCAAAATTTTCATACGCTTACAATTTACATAATAGTTTCAGGCCAGGGACTATACTTTTCAAAATGCCCTACCGGGGTTTTCCCCTCCTCCCACAAGTCCCCATTGCAGCTGTCTCCTCGGTCCCAGCCACCCAGGTGTGAGGGGGAGGGGGCACCACCCCCACCCCCCAGGGAGGGGACAAGAGTGAAGGCGTGATATGATCACATTTAGACCATCAAATTTTACTTGCTACCTTGTAACTGTAACGTGACGCTAGCCTTGGCTGTTACACTATTCACGGTGCGGATTGTGCAGGTGAAGACGCCAGCGTGGGTATCGTCCAGTTTCTGGATCATTATCCTCTGCCTTTTAGCTCTGAAACAAGTAGGGGTTAGTTTTGTGATCTTAGGAGCTTATTCCAAATGTCAGGTACGTACCTATCCCAGGGAAATTTTTGGTGATTTCGTTTTAATATTCAGCGAAATATGGAGTGAATATTTTGTTAATTTGTACGTGATACGTTCAAAATTCCTGCGCTCTCCGAGATCCTCAAATAGAGCCGTACGGTCGGCAAGGAGTTGGCAGGGAGTTGCTGATAAGGAATGGTGATAATATTACAGTAAGTTGCGATGAACCGGCAAATGTAGGATACCGACCAATTCATAAAAATGCCGTTCACGGGCGTTGCCGGCTCCTGCATGAACTCAATTCGATACTTGAAGATTATAGATTAAATCTTTTAATTTACGAAGGCTATACATCATTAACTTGCCTCAACAGTCCCACCCATACGAAATACCTCTTATCACGAGTTGAGCCACCTTGAGCGCTAAAGTCACAACACCACGTGATCTTAACACCACACCACGTGATCTTAACACCACACCACGTGATTTCGAGCACGAATGATAAGGTTCCAATTATCAGAGAGTGAAACATAAAACTCCCCACATACTGTGTTTTGAAGGAATCTCTACCAAATAAAGGCTATTTTGAGCTGTGATCTAATGTACAATAATGGGACGGGAGATAATGCTCATAATGGCCAGGGTGGAGTCAGGTTCTCCCTCTAGTTCGTATTCCATTGACCTATTATAAAGGTAACCAGCAATATATAATGCATGTAAAAGTGATTCTACGATCCAATAACATATTCAATGGAGAAATATAAGTTATATTATGGCAAGGGGTCCCTTAGGGCTGCATGCACTACGTTCAAAACACTTTCTCAAGCAATGTCCTATTATATATTTAAATGAGCGTTTAAAATTGATCAGATTGGGACTATGTTATAACTGGGTAGGCAGCTTAAAGTCTGGCTCATCTCAGAGGAGTGCGTGTGTTCAGTACTCATCTAGTTAATTAGGGATAATTAACAATAAATTACCCTGCGAACTAACACAGACTGCTTCCTAACACGTGACTTCAAAGATATAGAAATTAGGGGGTCTTAAACTGAAATCTCAAAAGATCTCGAGAGTATCTGGGGTTCCCTTTGATATGATGCGAAGGAGCGGAAGTCTGTAAATTTAGTGTAAAGAGAAAATGGAATAAAGGGCTCTTGAAGGTAATGAGGCTTGCTTGAGAATGTTCAAATTACACCTATTTGTTATTTATTACATTATAACATGTCATCGTGCCGTTGAATTAAGATATTAGATTAGGGGGCTGTACAGCATGTTGAATATAATGTGCACTCAAGGGACAAGGCCCCTGAAATTACTTTAATTGATTTTACAGACAATTAAGATAATCTATGAAATCTGCCAGGAAGTACCGTGTAGATGTAAACTGTAAAGTTATTGTTTCGCAGACAATAAAAGAGTCTGGGCCAATAAAAAACAACAGATTTTCAAACATCATTGGAAATCAGCTAATCAGAAAGCGATATTTCATCACGTGACAGGAATAACATCTAGACTCTAGATTTTAATTAAGATTTAGATTACAATCGGGTAAGGATAATATCAGTTTCAGTGGTAGATAATATTCACCGTTCAGTGTTTTGAACAGACATAATGTCATAACAATTAACATTATTTTTATATCCCGATTTTAAAATCCCAATCCCAATCCGAAGGACGAGCAAATGCTTTAAAAAAACTGAAAAACTCACTCATTTAGTTTGACGATGGGATCAATGATGAGCCCGTTAAGAGTCCACGTAAAACTATCCACATTGTCCGTCCCGTTCCAAGCGCAAGTCAGGTACTGCTGCTCGTCTCCCTGGTATGCCAGGTATGTGCCTGGGTTCTGGTATACTTCACATGCTCGCTCTAGCACTACTGATGCTATACCTGCAAGAGGAGGGAGGGGTCAGAAGAGTTGGAGAAAATTTATTTATTTTAAGAAATTTTAAGGTACTTTTTCTATGGAAATATTTATTCGCTCCTCTAAAATCATTAAAACGACTTTAATTTTGAAATTTGTGTTTAGCTGTAACTTAATTGGCCTAAACCTTATCTACTCTATTAAAAGAAGGAGAATAATGCAGAGAAGAGAGAGAAAGGTGACAAGTATGCAGCAAATCTCTAGGGGGAATTAAAGAGTACTTGACTCGTTTACAACTAAGCGTTTAGTCATTAACACTTGTTTTCTCCGGCAGTTTTGCCGACCATATAAACTAAACCTCCTCTAGGTTAGGTTTATATTTATCGGTCCGTTCAGTCAAGTCAAGTCAAGGTTGTAACTGCAATTTGTAAACCAATTTGAAAAATACACAGACTCCTCAACTCAGACGTCAGACTTCTCCCAGACAGAATGTTCTAGATTTTTACATTCCACAGGGAAAAAAACATGACAGTAAAACTCAGTAACAGTCTGTAGCGGGTTAACATATTGTAAGGTTTGTGGTGGAATAGCAGTTATTATTTGTTATAGTGTAAGTGTGTAAATGTACGAACCTGTCGCTGAAGAATTAACTGTGAGTAGTAAAAGGAGAAGAGCACAGCTACATCTTATCATATCTGTATAACAGAGGAGATTGTTTAAATAACACATGTGTCACATTTAATGTGTTAGTGAGGGGGGACAATGTTACTTGTGAGTCGCCGTGGGAATATTGTACAGATAGTCACGTGTCAAATATACAAGAGTCACGTGTTAACTGTCGGTGTGATTCACTGTGAATTACACTAGTTTGACAATTTAGGGTCTGAGTAGGCCACAGGAAGAACAAACCAATGGCAAAATGTGACAGGTCAATTTTAAAATGGTGAACATGAGAATCTACAAGGCCCCCCTCCTGGTGCCGTATTATATACAATGTCTCTCTATCTCTCTGGCAGTACACACTATCTGCTGTGATATCCCACTTCACCGGATATTCAGTACACACAACCTGTTAGAGAGTGTTAGAGAGTTCACTGTAAATAGTTGACGGATAAAGGTGTAAACATACAGGGGCATCTACATGGTGGTACAAGGAAGCACTTGTCATGTGGGAGGGCCACGTGGTGTGTCACGTGGGCCAGATCAAAGAGGCACTGAGAGGGGGCAACTCTTCGTTCTCACAAAATCAAAGAGAATTTATCAAACATTGTAAACTAAACGAACGGAAAATAAGAGAGAGAATTTAGGAGAATGTAATACAAGTTTGAGAGGTCAATAGTACACTTTGAACGCAGAGAGAGAGAGAGAGATAGAGAGAGAGAGTGGCAACAACTAACAAATCAGATGACAACTAAGATCAGACTAACTAAAACGTGTACAGAGAGACTGGAGTAGTGACTACATCATCAAGCCATATCCTGCACTACCCTAATATTATATTATACATCACTACGTTCTACCATACTCTCATACTGCTTCACATGCTGCTATATGAAACCATTAAATCAGCCACCAAATGTGATAATTTTTAGTGGACCCCGTACACGGAAACCGAATGTTTTTAAGGGGTCTGAAATCTAACAACTACTCTCTAAACCCACAGTACATGTTGCACGTGCGAAATGTTAATTTCATTATCCGATAAGAGGCTCTACGAATTATCAGCAATTAAATCTGGAGTTCCGTAAGATCTTTAGAGGGTTTTAATAAACTGAACTAATAATAAACAGGAAAGTAAGGAATGATAAAGGTTCTAAAATAAGTTCTGAGGTCAGGGTTGGTGGGAAAGGAATGCTATCTTGAAGTAGGGCCCCTAGGATAAATGTGGTACTTATATTCCAATCTGTTAATGCTACCAAATTAATAAAAGTGTGTGATCCAACGGTTTTATTTTCCTGGCTCAGGTGATCAAAACAGAAAATATCGCACATCAATGAAGCACCAAAACAGATCAGGAAAGTTAAAGCACCAAGACAGCGCAACAATACTATACACACATCGTAACAATGTAACAAACAAAAGTAACAAGTTGGTCAAATAATCAAAAAAAGCAACTCTCACAGTCCCTCAGTAAGCAGACTCCAGACTCCAGGCACCATATAGTATAACACCTAACCACACCTGCAGATCTTACCACAGTTTTAATAAAACTTGAAGTTCGTTACATCAGTCAACCCCGAAGTGTGTATTCAAGTCAACAAGCATAATTATATGAGATTAAGTAGAATGATCTGATGGTGTCGACTGAAATCACTGAAATTCACACAAGCTCAGTGAACAAGAATGCGCAGAAAACAAGTAATCTGAAGAAATGGGCGTCATTTTAAGCAGTTCAATGATCTCAATCACCTTCTGTAAATCGTCCCAAAATGGTGCGGTACAATGAAATAAGAGCGTTAAAACATAGAGCGGTAAAATCTATATCAGAGCAAAATCTTTATCAGAGCGGTAAGATCTATATCAAGGCGGTAGATAAAAAGCAAGCTAGCTACAAGGTGCTACTATACAAAAGTCAGGGCTGTTCAAGCCAGATATATGTATTAAATTTTTACCCTGACGCCGAGCCTTTCAACACGATGAAGCTCGTAATAGATCTTGATGTGAGCTGTCGAAAATCACGACAGCCAATCAGCAGGCCCGGTTGCAATCACGAGATCGCTATTAACCAATCAGAAGCAAGATAGAAAGTCACGTGATGCAGATGTCGCTGAAGTGTCTGGTCGAGGATTTATACGTTAACAGAGGGTTTATCCTGGACAAATGTAGCGGAATTAGTTGCAAGTTTTAATGATGACGAGTTGGCGATCATTTGGTGGGGTTCTTGTTAGGACTTAGGGAGATACAAATGTAGGATACTATCCTTGATATTATCCGCATATGTGGGATATTAACCACTGTGAAGTGATGAAGTGATCAACCCATCACCTCATATTCCCTGGGAACCAGGAACTGTGTGTCAGATACGGCTTCAAGTGATCTGCTGCCAGCTGTGTACTGTTTTAAAACAGCCATTACAACCAACTCTGGGAATGCTCCGCCATTTACAGGATTCAGAAAAAGAGGATGGAATATTGCAGGGAAATGACCTAATCAGTAAACATTCCCAACAGTTTTAAGGGGGGGGGGCCAATGGATATTTTTTTGTGAAACTTGATTTCGAGATAGCAGTTGACCAACAAACTAGGACCAGTGACCGAACTTTTGAGGGGGTCCCGGACCCTAACCGCCAAACGGTGCCTGCGGGGCAGCCACGCCCATATTTGGTCCAAATTAGGCCCAATTTAGCCAAATACCCTGAACATGCCCAAAACCCAAATTTTAGGCGCTCTACTTGTAGCTAGTGGTCTCCTGAACTCGTATATGAAATTTCATCAAGATTGGACAAAAAATGACTGAGTTATGAGCCAAAAACCATATGCCCATATTTGGGCATACGCACCAAATTTGGTAGATTTCGTCCCATAAATTGGTCAAATATCAATATTTTTCACTGAAACTTACTTTATATGAAAGGTAAGCCTAAACTACATATTCTCTGTAAGTTATAGCTTTATATCTGTTTAAATGTGGATACTAAGGCGAAAAGACCACAAAAAAATGAACTAAATTGCCCGTATCTTGGTTCGCGATATTCGCGGAATTGATCTCATTAAAATTGTAACAACTCGATCAGTTTTCAAAATTTTTCCATGAAATTTTCGGAATCGACTCGAAATCGCATTTCCACCTTAGTTTGAGAACAGATTTTTGATTTAGGCCTCCAAAAAAATTTGGCGGCCAAATTCCAAAATTTTCCCGGAGAAATTCAGAATTTGGCCGCCAAATTTTTTTTGAGGCCTTAATCAAAAATCTGTTCTCAAACTAAGGTGGAAATGCGATTTCGAGTCGATTCCGAAAATTTCATGGAAAAATTTTGAAAACTGATTGAGTTGTTACAATTTTAATGAGATCAATTCCGCGAATATCGCGAACCAAGATATGGGCAATTTAGTTCATTTTTTGTGGTCTTATCGCCTTAGTATCCACATTTAAACAGATATAAAGCTATAACTTACAGAGAATATGTAGTTTAGGCTTACCTTTCATATAAAGTAAGTTTCAGTGAAAAATATTGATATTTGACCAATTTATGGGACGAAATCTACCAAATTTGGTGCGTATGCCCAAATATGGGCATATGGTTTTTGGCTCATAACTCAGTCATTTTTTGTCCAATCTTGATGAAATTTCATATACGACTTCAAGAGACCACTAGCTACAAGTAGAGCACCTAAAATTTGGGTTTTGGGCATGTTCAGAGTATTTGGCTAAATTGGGCCTAATTTGGACCAAATATGGGCGTGGCTGCCCCGCGGGCACCGTTTGGCGGTTGGGGTCCGGGACCCCCTCAAAAGTTCGGTCACTGGTCTTAGTTTGTTGGTCAACTGCTATCTCGAAATCAAGTTTCACAAAAAAATATCCATTGGCCCCCCCCCCTTAACATAAAGTTAAACTATTGAAACCGGGATATGACAAGATTTTAATAAAAAGCGTGATTGTAAATTAAACACAAACACTATAAAACAACGCACCGACAATTAATTGTCAAAGTAGAGCAACACAAATCCGTAAAACACAACACAACAAAAAGAGAGGTAAAAGTCAGCTCGGACCCAAAGCAAAGCAAGCAGGGAAAGAAGAAGAAGTCAGGACACATATTCTCTCCCATACGCTACACTCTAAAAGCTTTTTATAATCGATTCCATAATGGAACGCGAGACTGTGACCGTACTAAGTGACAATACGAAAAATGGGGGGCCGTAATGGAGATAGAGGGAGAGAGAGAGAGAGAGAGAGTCTTTGTTACGGACATTAAAGTGATGTGCAAGTGAAGGGCTGCTACTGTTGAACAATAAGTAGCACTAACACTGACTAAGCGGCGCGAGTTTAAAATAATAACCACGAATTCACCCATCAACAAAATGTACACAATGAATAATATCGGCACTGTGTCTCGACCTCCGAGTTTAAAATGCAGTTAGTAAAGGGCATTCTAGAAACGGCTGATAAGCTCGCTGAAAGTTCACGCCCTAACCAAGTTGAAGTGGCAAGGCACGCTACCAATCAATGTTAAATAGTTCCGCTCAACGTCACCCCAACTTGGCAACAGCCAATGAAAAGCCTCAATCTCACTGACTGTCCAGTCACAAAGCGTGCTGCTACTAAGGGACTACTATCTTGGCCCGGACTACGAGACCAGCGGAGAGCGGCCAAGTTAATAACTCTAACTTGAGAAAAGCTGCATCCTAGTATCTCTATAGTAGGTGTGGTAATTAGTTAAAATTAGAATTTAATTTCAGGGACTACATTAATCTACCGCCGTATTTACAGCGGGTCATAGTTAGGGCACATCTTCTTGTTTACATGCGCTCCTTTTAACAACTTAATCACCGGAAATGTCGGAAGAGGACTAATTTTCGCAGTCAAAGAGAACTGAACTCTGATGTTGTAGTCTCTAATGATTGATGGGCAATTCATTCACTGTTACGTCACTGTAAATACCACAAATACCACCACTGCTATTTAGTGGTTCCAACCACTGTTCGTCATCAGAACAAATTACTTTCAAGGAAGTGTCGCGATCATGAAAACAACGTAGTTACCAGAAATGACGAAACAACTAAATCAGATAGTTCCCATTCAGACGGAATCAAAACAAAGAGCATCAAAGAACCCCAACAATTACCCTGCATATTAACGATGACAGGATTAAATCAGGTTTCAAAGAGTCCACCCCTCCTTTCAAACAGCAGTATAGGGTTACTAAACCTTACCTACCCGAGTATACTCGTCCCTAAAAACCCGCGACTAATCAGATCATCTCCCTCAACACTCTCTACTCAACACCAACACCTCCCCACCACCAACAGCTCGAGACAAAACAATCTGAATGATGAAAATATCAAGTTACCCGTCCAGCAGGTAATCTGTAATTTTAATTTCTCCGAGAGAGAGGTGACGTCATAGTCACGTGATAGTTAACGAGATGGGGAGGCAGGAATTAGGAAATAGGAACACTCGACCTAGCTGGTAGTACGGAGTTTAAACGCAAGGTTTATCTGGGGAGGTGGGCACGTGAGGTTAATCAGAGTTAAGGGATGAAGATGGCTGGCAGTAAGAACACACAGCTCTGGTCGTCAGATAGTGCGAGATGCCAGACGTAATGTGGAACGTGATGTAATGCTGAGACATCTGGCGCCACTTGTAGTAAAGTTACGTAGCTGAGAGAGCCAAATAAGGGTAGAGGTCTACACCTGTTTCAGGGTACTAGAGATACTTAAAACAGACGAAATAAAGGTTCAAAGGCAGCGGTGAATCCTGTGAGAGAGGTGAGAATGTGGCCCTGAGGTCGGGATGGAATGTGGCCCCCGGAAATCATGACACACGTCGGCTGAAACAGATGAGGGAGGGAGTTGAACATGACGAGGTATCCGTCTTAAACATGATAAGGGATCAAAGTGCTAATTAGTGGTATAGGAACACGTGGTGTTGGGTATCTCAAAGCTTGATGGTACAAGACTCCCTGACCGATCAGTAACCTTGGTAACTAAACAGCCAGTGTTCGTCATGAACAGAGGTCTCGCGTTTAATTTGATCCAGGTGTGAAGTCTGGCTGAGTATGAACTAAGGTGGCAGTTGGGGGCAGGTTAATGGATACATTAGACAGACACTGGACTTGGCGACATTCCCACTTAGCAACATTTCTAATGCCCAGGATAAACCTTGTCAAATTGAAGGCAAGGACAACATATATTTTATACTTGCAAGTTTGTATCAGGACAGAGAAAAACCGACAGTTTTAGACCGAAAGTTAAAGTCTGCAGTCAGAAAGACCGGACTATATTGAAAATAAGCAACAGTGAGTTAAAGTGATAACAGACGCACCATAGTGCCATGATACGTCCCACAGCCTAACAGTAACAAGAGAGAATAGTCTGACTGTATCAGAATTAATATTGTAGAATAGAATTAGCTAGCCTAGGCGAGGAAGAGTCAATTAGGATAGCTTCCTCTCAGTTTAACTACTCTCTGAGAGCCAAATAGTTCGGCTTCTCTTGTCAAGGAGAGAGAGCTAGGAAATCTATCAGTTTACTGAGGAATGTGATTATATTGAGATATTCAATGACCAGTTTAGCTGAAATCGTTAGGATTTATCTTTTTTGGGAGCTTGATTTATAATTCTTATAAATTTAAAAAATTATGTGCAAAAGATAATAAGCACGTTGAGGTTTTTAGCCAAATCAAAAGAATATGGAAACTGTAACAGCCTTAATCAGCTGGAAATCACCATATCGTAAACCAGGGGATGTAAAAACTAAATTTAGGTGAAAGTGGACGGTGAGTAGATGAAATAGAGATCATGGGGTTAAAGAGAAGAAATTTCCCAGGAGAAAAGGAACTCGAATCAAAATTTGGCAACCATAGCTAATTTCAGAAAATGTCTAGAACTCAAGAAACTTCAAAAAGCTGTGAGGAAATGGGCTGGAGATTAGGAAACTAAATTCGAAACCTAAAAAGGAAGAGGAAATAAATTCTAAAACAAAAGAAATTGAAATCACATCCTCAAATAGTTACCGAGAGAGTGACTTCAACAAACAACCTGCAACACTCACTCCGTACAAGAGATCTGAGGAGGTGCCTCGCAAGGGGAACACCCTAAAGAACCTGCCACTGTTAGCAAGTGCCACCTTGCAACGTCACCAGACGCTTGGTACAAACAGCAAGATGACAAGAAGACGAAGTCAAACACAAACCTTACACTGAATCACAAGACAACCATTAAACAGAGCACAAAACTCTCTCCCCTCTCCCTCCCTCTCTCTCTCTCTCTCACGTTACAAAGGAATGAGCTGACAACTCTCATAGTCACGGTAACTCGATAGCACGGGAGTCAGGCCCACTAAACACCAGAGGGAGAGAGAGAGCAGAGAGCAGAGGGCAGGGAGCCGGCTAATGCTGGTCTCCTCGGATAGTTTTACAGGGGAAGAAAAGGGAAAGTGCGCCCGATTATCGACAACAATAGTAGTGGAAACTGGAAACGTTCCTTGTGATAGCTGGTGCAACCTGAGGTCACATCAGGGGGCTAGGAATTTTGGGGATCTCTTTTAATAAGAAGACTTACGTCTCGTATCTGTTGTTGGAGTTAAACGTTAACGACAATGGTAACTGAGTGTGGGGTGGCAATACACAGCAAATCCTGTTGAACATGATAACAGAACCTTGAACCTACAAACTAGAACAGCTGGGTGTGACAAGTTATGTGTGTGACGTAATATTGTGATTAACTGCCGAGAAGAAAACACGATAACGATGACGAAAAGTTTGCAGGACTGAGAGAGTGGATATAATCAGTTTTAAAAACTGTAGAAAGAAACCTAAAGAGTGAAAAAAGTACAAGCGGCAAAGAGAGAATCTGCACTCGTTTTAAAATATGGAGCTGTTTTGTGACGGTAGATAACTGTTAAACCCAATAATACATAACTACAAATGTCGTTAATAATGAAACATGATATATTTTCACCTCCCCGGAAAAGTGTGCAGATCGCACAGCTCATTCCCTGCCCTCTGATTGGGTAAACGAGCTGTTCCTGTGCTATGATTGGCTGTGATACGCCTGTCATTACAATCTTATGGTCACATGTCCCGTATTTTAATGGTCTGTACGACACGTGCGGGTGCTGTAAAACTACTGTAATTAAATTCAAAACCTTCTTTCAGGTGAGGAAGTGCTGTGACTTGCGCATGAGGTCACATTGCTAATGAATTGTGCGCTATGACGTGCGCAGAATGACGTCGTGCGCCAGACAATTTATTGCTAGGATAATTGGCAACACCTTGAAACGAAATAGTTGAGATCTGAAGCGGCAACAGTAATCTCCAAAAGTCTAGGGAGATCGGATTATGGTTGGAAAGGTTTCTGCTACATCACCAGCGGAAATAACTGTCTGCTATCAAGGGAAACCTTATACAATCATGGAATATTTTATCTTTTCAGTTCATCTGATCAGCCAAAAATAAGAAAATTGAGTCCACGAAGACAGTGTTAATCGTTCAATTACATATTACCACAACAGAAGGTACAACACAAAGAATTTAATACCCAGTGTTTTTGCAGTGTCTTATCAGTCAGCTGTCATAGTCATGTCAGAATTCCAAACATATTTTCAACTGTCGTTTTGCATTTTAAAAATTGCATAGATTTGCATATATTTGTAAATACGTTGACACTTGATAAGTTTAAAGCAAGTCAACTCACCTTGACTAACATAACTTGGCAACCATAGCAACCACAAGAAACCTGAAAAGTTTGAGTCTCAATGAATCTGTTGAAAGAAAATCAATGACATCACACAATTGGGGTGGTATTTCAGAACTGAAGGTGATGAATTCGAAAAGGCAAACTATCAAATATAAATTATAATTATGATAAAATTTATAAGATTTTATCATAATTATAATTTATGGTAACTTACCATATATCAGCATTAAATCCATTTATTGTTAGTTATTAGTTCTGTCTCACATTATGCCTATCTTCTTTTGCATGCTAAAAACGTTTCTGTTAACAGTGTTTAAATGAGGAAGTAATTTCATAACTGTAGTTTACAAAACTCATGCCAAGCTAAAATACGCCAAACAGGACTAACAGAGGATTAGATGAGCAAAGGATTAGATAAGCAATATTATAGTTAGATATTAATGAACTTGGTATTTTTGCTTTTTTCTGGCCACCCGCGCTTGTTTAATTTATTGCTAGCAAGTTGATCTCATGCTTTGGTTCAATCTATCATTCATAGTAGGAGGTAGGAATTATGCTATCATATTATTCACAAGTACTGTGTACATTTAAGACATAGAGAAGTGCATCTTCTTATAATATGATGGTTATGTATCAGCAACAATAAGTTTGCATCGAGAAAGCAGCCATAACGGAAAAATAGTCAAACCCTATATGACTTCAATTTGTTTTGGTTTCAGTCAGAATAATGAAAAAATGGTAAAAATGGTAAAAATAGTCTAAGGTGTGCAAAGCCTTACACCTATATATGGGCATTTACAAAATTATGCATAACTCAGTTATTTTCTGTCGAATTTTCGATTTGAGGACATCTTTTTGCTTAGGTCTCAAAAATGCAATTTTAGATTTTTGTAACAGTTTCAAAAATGTTACGGATGCAACAAGTTGGGAACTCTCTCCAAAATGTGTACCTTCAAAGATATGAGGCTGGTTATTTCTATGGTACTCCCTTCAGAAGAGATAGGTTACAGTGAATTTAAAATATAAATTTGGCACTTTGTGGCGATTTTGAGACGAACACAATACCCATCTTTGTTAAAATGTAACATCGCAGAGGTCAAATTCTTGTGGTGTATGGAATTTAGTGAAACAAATTTTTAGTGAAACAAATTTAAAATTTTATCCTTTATTTTACAATCATAATATAATAATATTTATAAGCCTCCGTTTTGAAAGTTTTAAATTTTAATACATTCACATTTCTATTTAAAATTCAATTTTATGTACAAGTCAATAACTGGCCGCCAAAGCCGCGCATTCTTGAAAACAGGATTAACTTGATTATAGTTATACGACTATGTAAATTTAAAACTATCCGTGGTTTTTTCTTTTAAATAAATAAGTTATAATTTTACCTAAGTCCAAAGCCAGCTTTGAAAAATTTACTATTAAATCATAATATATCGTCAACTTTAAATATTTACAATGCAACAATTCATTAATTTGTAAACACGCGTACTCCAGCCCCTAAACGCAATAAATTGTTATGCGGCGCGGCTCAAGCCGCGCACGCACGTATTATTTTATATTGTTTGCTTTCTAATAAATATCGTGCCAATGTGTACGTCTAAATTGTAAACGTTCATGTTTTGTGTAAAGTGAATCCAATTGGGACTAGTGACAAGGATAAGGACCCAAGTGCCTGTACGGCTTTTTCGGACCCCTGTGGACCACTACTCTTGAAATCACTCTACAACATTGAACATTTATATCTACTACGTCATTTGGCAATTATTGTCATTAATCTAACTTTCTAATTAATTGCCGAGGGGGAAGAGTAAACGCTTCACATTAAAATTCAATATACAAAATTCAAAACCATCAATACGGTATTAAATATTATGGACAAATCTATAGATCTATTTCGTAGTCATATATTGACATGATTTGCTTTATATTATCTTAATACTGTAATGAAGTACAGTAGGATTTATGTTTCGAGAAAGAAAGGTTGCTGTCAAATTATTAACAAAAGTCCATCAGGGACTCCGTGGAGTCGAAAAAGGTACACGGCCGCTGTCTGGTGCTGCTAGGCATTTATTGATCAAGATGTTTTATTGTATTGATTTATAATGATTCTATTGTTCGTGACTAATCAAGTTCTAAGTGGAGGTATAAAGTGCTGCTTAAGATACTTCGTCATCTCATGTCCAGTATAATGATTAAGATAGTATACAATACAGTTTCAGTAGTTGACCCATACAGTTAAGTCCGTCATAACTCATAACTTTCATGGATAAAAATTGCTGCATACCTTAACTATGGCCCCCTGAAATTTAGACCATTTCATTCATCTCCGAGCCCTGTTTCTTTGAATGAGAAAAATCACAAACAACGCAGTATCAAACAAAAAAATGTGGTTGCCCTTTATAAGGAAAATATTTTCATATAAATAAGGTGCATGTCTTAACATTTTTCATTTACACCAATTTGGGCATGTGGACATAAGTTCTCAATGGTTACTGAAACAAACTTTGTTCAAAACATAGTCATAAACGTATAACTGTCCATATTATCTGATTTTCTGTGAACCAAACAGCTCAGATAGAAAAACTATTGAGATGATTGGGAAATCGGTGATTGAGGTTTAAATGAGGCGCTCTGTTAAAACATCTAGAATCTGCCATTGTACGACACTATGCTATATCAGTGGCGTAACGAAGGGCCCTGCTGACCCCGCTGTGCAGGGGGGCGCCGTCTTAGGGGGGCGCCAAATCGTCGTTTGAATGTGGGACAATTTCGAAAACTTAACTAAAGTACTAGCAAAAATGCGCGTTTTGCTCTAGATACACACTTTTTTAGAGATTTTTACCGGCATATCTTCTAAAATCACCTAATTTGTTCAATTTTAGGGAGGGGCACCAAAAGGGGAGGGGGCGCCAACAGGGGGGCGCCTTTTCGGCAGGGGGGCGCCAACAGGCAACGTTACGCCACTGTGCTATATTATGAATTTGAGTCCACTCGACATAACAAACAATCCGAGTGACTAAATTTCTCATACATTCTCCATAATCCATATTTCTATCCAATGATATATTTTTCGCATCAATAAATGAAGATTAGTATAATAATGAAAAAGCAAGGACTCTCCTTCAGAATAATATCTGGTGACCAACAGCAAGCACAAGAAAGATTTGGGTTGAAAAAGGAAAAAGAGGAGAAATCATACCAAAATATGATTGACTCTATCTCCAGATAAGGCCACCTTAATGCAGCATTGAGAAAGTGAACTACGTTTGCACGCAAATTATGTTATAATGTATCAATGATTTTTATTTTGGGCCGTATGTGCACAATCAGCAAAAATGGCTGTGTTACACAAGAGGCTGAGGGAAGCGATTCCTATAAAGAAAGTATGCAAGGTATTAAATACCCAAAAAACAAAAAGTCGAAAATAGATTTGAGTTGTCTAGGTTTTTTTAATGCCTCCAATGTTCGTAAGAACAGCTTATAGCCTAGACGATTAGCTTGGTACAACGTAACGGTAAACTATAGGTAAAAATAGCACGATAAAGAAATAGGCTCATATATTTATGCTCATCCAAGTTGTGAACAGTACTTCCATGCCAGTCTATAGCACCATTGTTTGGAGGACTTCGCCGCTTCGACGCGCCGCGCGAACTAGCATTCTTGCTTCGCGAACTAGCATTCTTGCTTCGCAGAGCAACGATCTCGATGGGTTGACATCGTCAACCAACACCATTGTTTATAGAACGAAAGGTAAATGTCTGATATTGTAAGCTCTTCAAAGAACAGCCAAAAAGACAGAATACAAAATTATAGGAAAACATACTCAGACGTGATGGAATGGGCCACATATCAACCAAAATCAATTTATGTATATTTACTCTTACAAAAAATTTTTTGTCTATCCGAAGATCTTGTAGAATTTATGAATGTACAACAGCCTAGAATATGATTGTATCACGTTGCGACCCCCACGGTCGCTTCACTATAGAGTTTCTACGATACAAGGGGAGCCGCGCACTCGTGCGCGGCGGGTCATACAACGTATGACAAGAATTTGTCATACGTTGTATGACCCGACGCGCACTCGTGCGCGGCTCCCCCTGTAGCGTCGAAGACGCTACTATAGTGAAGCGACAGTGCGGGTCACCACGTGATACAAACAAGAATATGATCAGTCTGCGCGCATTTATTTAGTTATTTATTATACGAATAAATAGTAGTACTATAATACAAAATAAATAATTTTGTGCTCACAAATTTATTACCTCAATATTAAAACATTTACATTTATGCATTGTTGATTGTTTAATTATGCTGAAATAAGTTGAACATCATCAAAAATATGTAAAATTAATATTAAATGATTAAATGAACTTTTATAAAAATTCAATGCGGATTTGGTTATAGTTATTTAGCTTGCTAATACAGTTTATTGCTTGATTTTACTGGGCCGCGCTCAGCCTGTCATTCCGCCTTCACATAGCCATGTGTATACGCGTACTGCGTGACGCGGCGGTCGCGCGCTACTGCAAGCGAGAGGGCTCTGGTAAGAGCAACATTCCGCCTAATCTCTATTTATGAACATGTTTATGGTTTAACGGGTGATACTCGTAAAATATCTGTTCCATATATTGGACCGTCGACGAGTCCAACGCGGCGCGCGTCCTGGTAGGTTGTAAACCTACAAGTTTATGGTTTATGAACATGATAGCTTGAGGTCCCAAAGTAATGCTTGATTCTATTACTTATAAAAAATAAACGGGTGATACTGATTGTAAAATATCCAGTCCAACTCAGCGCGCGTCCTGGTAGGTTGTAAATCTACAAATAAAAAGTTTATCTTGTCCATGAAGCTTGAAAAAAGCAGTGCGCACAAGGATTGACGAGCCAGGTAACAAAAATAAACTTATTATATTTTAATTTTATTGGGAAGTATGAATAGCTATAGGTTTTAAAATAAAATGTATTTCATATTATTGTTTTCTTGAAATTGTTGGTTTCTTGATTATATTTTGAAGGACTTCGCCGCTAGGCTTCGCGACGCGCCGCGCAATTACTAGTTTTCTTGCTTCGCATCGTTGATTGCTTCGCAAAGCAACGATTTCGATGAGTTGACATTGTCAATCAATATCATATTATTTAATAAAATTGTTCATAAATTATTAATTATGTTGGTCGACAAATATCTATAAACAACATTATTTATTGATTCGATTATTGTAAAATCAGGATTAGATTATTGTGGTAAAATTAAATAGCTTTTAAAAGGTTATATTTGTATGTATAGTTTGTG